ACTTCATCAGCAGGACCAAGGTTGGCACAAGGAGGTGGCATCTTGGGCAGTCATCTGAAGACCAGGCATAGTGATGCCACAACACCCTCTGTTTCCTTTGTTTGTTTGTTTTACACCTGTTTTGTTTCAAGCAACTCTGCTCTGGGCCTGAGCCCTCACCATCCCTTGTACCCCTATTGACCTCACACTCCTGTAACTAAATCTTTGCATTACCAGAGGAGCTATGCCCTCTCGTCTTCCATAGTCTTAGACTCAGATAGGACGTTAAACCAATCAATCAATCAATCAATCAATCTGAGACGCAACAAAACGCTGCTCGATGAGCCTGCCTCGGATGTCAAAGCTATCAGTCCCTCAGCCCAGGATGTGGCGCTGACCGCGGATTTGACTTCAGTTAGACATGGAAAAGTTATTCGAGGTTGCCAGCACTCTAGGTGTGATCGACGTGCTTGTCCAAGCTGCAGGAAGCACGACCACTGGGGTTGTCGGAGACCTTGAGCCGAAGGCACAATCCAAGGACTACAAGCTAGCTCGTCATGCACAATTACCTGAAGTCCTCCACGACGGGTACCATCATTATCTTGGGCACACTCGGTGCATAGGTCACCTTTTCAAGAATGAGCATCTACTCCGGAAGGAAGCTAGCATTTTTGAAGCTGGTCGAATTTCGGGAAGCCGAGAGGCCTGACCTCCGTGTCTTCACCGTGCATCTTGGTAGCATGGTTGTGACTGAGACGAATTGTGGAGCTATGGTGGATGCTTCGACACCGTTCGCAAAGGACAAGGGCATACAGACCGGAGGACTTTCGCTATATCTCGCCCAGAAGAGAGCAGACTACCTTAGAGGCAGCTTCATCAGTGTCAATTGTAAGTCCGCATGTCATCGTTCGATATCAAGATGCTGACAACGATGCAGGGGATGTGACAGAGATGGGAGCTCACCAAGAGGAGATCAAGGAGCAGAAGCTACTCAAACTTGCTTTTCTTGGTGCGAAACTCGAGCCAGATGGCCATCCATGGTCGTCCTGAGAAAGGCCTGAGATTGTGCAGGTGCGGGTAGAGAAATGAGGCTGTACTAGGAGGATTTTGTTGAGACTCGAGGTCGTGCTGTGGTAGTGAATCCCTTAGGCGCGCAGTGCAGGACCCTGAGCAAATGATCTCGAGTCAACAAGGTGCAGGTCTCTTAACAACGGTCTACGCACAGGCATCTACTCGACACCTTCTGCCGTCAAATTTCAAGCTCTGTCGAGCATGCCGCTCAACGCCGCTGCGGCCCGGACTAGCGTGAAAATAGGAACTAGGAAGGAACGACTTCGACGCGCTTCTGTCCTGTGGCTCCCTCCACTTCCTCACATTAGAAAGCGTTCAGCGCCTCTCGTGCCTTTGCAGCAGCCTGCACCGGAATATTCGCTTGACAGCGGGCACAGTGTGGCTCGTCCGTGCCGCCGACTGTGCCGCGCGCGGATCCGGGGCTCGTTTCAGATTCGAAACCCTTACGACCAATCACTACGCGACTGCCACACCCTAAGCAAACAAGGAATGTCTGGATGTCGGCAGCCAAACATTCAAGAATCCTGGTCGCCAACTGTGTCTCTCAAGCTCGAGAGCCAAGAATCAATGACTGGACCTGCGTGGCCGCCCGCGTCCAGCGTGGGGCTGTTTCACTTTGATCTGGAAAGCGATGCAAGGTCGTGGCATGCAATTTGGACCACTCGATCGCCACGTCGAATTGATGCCAGCGCGATGCGCCTTATTCCGTGCTAATATGAGGTTCGCGACATTGGCGACAACGGTTGCACAGTAAACTTTCGCTAGCGTGAGTTTCGTCCTGAGGTTCCCCTTCACCTCGAGATCTCCCAGATTTTCTTCTCAGTTTCTATTGTTCGTTATTGATATTATTGTCGAACGAGAAGACTCGTTGCCTTACGGCGTTGGGCTTGTCCCCTCTACATCACTTATTTTCTACCTCTCTCTTAACTCCTACTACCGACCGCTCGACGCGAATTTCTCGACTGCTGGACAGCTCAAAACAACGATCTCTCTCTACGAAGAACATACGAATAGCACATACCTACGAAATCAAAATGGCACTCCTTTCAGCAGAGCACCTGGCCGGCCCAGGCTACATCATCCTCAACGTCCAGAGGGGCTTGAACATCATTGCGCTTGCTTCAGTGGTTGCTAGCAGCGTCGTTATGCTCGTCAAGACCTTCATCGTCTCGAAGGTACGTTGAGAATTGAGTATCGAAACATAGTGAAGCTAACATAGAGCAGTTCTTTTTTTTCGATGCTACAAGTCATGTTATCACAGCCATTGTTGGCTTGTTCCTCATTGTCTCTGAGTGCTCGCTCTTCCGCAACTTTTTCGCTCGCAACTGGCCTCTCCTCAGCCCTGCCCATGGTTTTGTGACTTTGGGCTGCGCCATGATGGTCCTTGGGCTCAATATGTTGGGCAACATGAACAAGGAGGCCACAAGCCAGAAGTCTCTGACTTTGCCCTTCTGGAGGCTCCTGGTGGCATCTGGCATCCTTGCTATTGTCATTGGCTTTTTCAACGTTATTGCTGTAGGTTCACGATTTCACTTCTCGAACGAGCCCCCACTAATTAACCACAGAGCTACGTCTTCTGCGACCGATCGCGAGGCATCACAGCCCGTCGTGTCCGCTCCCGTGGTGCTATGACATTGTCTGAAGTCGATGCTGAGTCTCAGCATTACGACTACGACCCCAAGCACAAGGCCTTTACCATCAGCACACAACACACCGGCAGCACCTCCTCCCGCACACACATCGGGCAATCACCACCCATGCGAAATGGAACACCATCTATGCGCATGGGCACGCCACCAGCAATGGGCGCACCCACACCCCGTGTTGATTGCGGCTCGCCTCAACTTGAGGCTCAGCAGCAATCGACCAACCGCCTCTCAACATTCGCATTCAGCCCGATCTCCGCCTTCAAGAGCGTGCGTGGTTCTTTCCTCCCTTCATACCACAGCACCTCGCCACCCAAGCCAGGCTTCTTTGGCCACCGCCCCTCATCTTCCATCTACTCGCGCACAACATATGGTGGCGAGCCCGCGAAGAAGAAGTTCTGGCAGCGCATGGCTAGAGAGGAGGAGCCTGAGGTTCCTCGCGTGCCGGCTGAGATCTCTGGACCGTTGAACATAAACCCTCAGTTTGCGCACCTGGTCAAGCCTAACCTTGCACACCACCCGAGTGTCAGGAGGCCCGAGGCGGACTTTGACAAGATCTAAGTGTCTTAAGAAGACTGCCGTGAGACGAGCGTATATGAATGTTTATGATACCACTTTCTTTTTGTACAATTTGAGCCTGAATATTGCATAATACGGCAAGGACATGGGCGGAGTTACTTGTGCATAATGGCAACTTCAATATCTTCAACATTGCGCGTTCCTCCCAGTGACACCTTCTGCAATAAGGTCAAGTTTCTATCGTCATCTGTTCTAATAACTCCATCCAGTGATGCTGTGTTGTACATGATGCAGTGCTTTACAGCTATATATACACTGGTTACACGGCGAATCGCCCATCGCCGTAACCTGACGCACTTCCTGCAACCTTGTCTAACCAACTCGATCCCAATATCGAGCGCTTAATCCTCGTCAACAGGCATCTGGAACGGATCAATCGCATCCCCCTTGGGATCGTACAACTCAAACTTCCTCCCATCATCCATTGTCAAGCTCCACTCCTGCGTACTGTACAACCCGCCCCTACCCCTCCTCTTACACCTGAGTCTTACATTGCCTTGCCTCTTCGTCCCCTTCACATTGAAGCTGATATCGATCCTTCCATGCACCTGGTTAATGTCGCCGCTGATCCAAGGGTACTTGGACGCAAAGTAAATCTCGTCGCCGAGTTCTTCGCGCACGAGCGGGTTTGTGCGGAGCGCATAGAGCGTTGAGGTTACGACGGAAGACTCTTGTTTTTGGTAATTGAAGAAGACAAGGACCGAGACGGTCATGGCGACTACGAAGATCGGGAAGGTTTTGAGGACTCGTGGGGAGATGAGGGGCGGAATGCTGTAGCTCATTAGCGCATAACCTCGAGAGATGTGCATGGAGCGGGGGCATACGGAGGTAGTGCGCGGTTAGGCTTGCGCTCCAACAAGATCTCGCCATCCTTAGGAGGCGGGATCAGATACGCTGGCGGCCATGCTTCGATGCTGTGCGGTGTCTTCCACGGGACCGTGGGCTGTTCAGGTTGTGAAGGCTGTGTCGACTCAAACGAGGCGTATCGCGCAGTAAAGGCCGTCCGGCGAAGACATTGCAGTTGCGATTGTGGTCGTGTGCGCAAGAATGCGGCCGAAAGCCGTGGAGGAGGCATTGTGTGGGGTGATGTGGGAGTGCTGCTGCTTGAATGACGGTTTCTCCAGATCAGTTGATGCTCGGCGTCGGCGGCCGGAAGTTTGCTCGTTCTGGCTAGTCTCCAGCTTATTCAGCGCTCCTTGTCCTTTACACTTCTAGGTTCACCACAACATCACAGTACTCTTGAATATATTGTTTGAGATGATCACCGAATTTATTATTGAAGGTCGTAACTATGTATACATTCATGAAGTCATACGTGCACCTGGCACAATAAGATTGCGAAACCGCTTAACCGCTGACAACGGTACCACCGTTGGGGTGGATAGTCTGACCACTGATCGAGCTGCTGTCAGGGGCAGCGAGGAAGACGGCGACGGTCGCGATCTCACTGGGTTGTGAAGGACGACCGATAGGAGCGGTGAACTGCTTGATAGCCTCCTTGTTCATGGTGGCAGGAATGAGAGGTGTCCACACAGGACCGGGCGCAATAGCATTGACACGTATACCCTTGGAAACGTACTGGTTATGCAGAGCACGGGTAAAAGAAACGATGGCACCCTTTGTCGATGTGTAGTCGAGCAGGTCAGGGCGGCCGATGTATGCGTTGATGGAGGCGTTGTTGATGATAACGGAGCCTGGCTTCATGTGGGGCAGCACGTACTTCGAGAGGTAGAAGTAAGGGTGGATGTTGGTGTTGAAGGTGTGCACCCACTGGTCCTCATCGAGGTCCTTAATGTCCTCGACCATGTTCTGGTAGGCGGCATTGTTGAAGAGGATGTCGACACCACCCATATGCTTGACGGCCTCATCGATGACCTTCTTGCAGTTTGCGCGGTCCTTCAGGTCGGTAGCGAATGTGTAGCATTTGGCTCCCTTCTCCTCGACCATCTTCTTGGTCTGCTGTGCGTCGTCCTCCTCCTCAGGCAAGTACACAATGAAGCTGTCGGCGCCCTCCATGGCGTAAAGGATGGCAGATGCGCGACCAATACCGGAGTCACCACCAGTGATGATGGCCTTCTTGCCCTTAAGCTTACCGGCGGCCTTGTAGAGCTCCTTGCCGCCATCGGGAGTCGGAAGGTGGTCGTATTCGGGCTGAGGATCCATCTCAGACTCCTTTCCGGGGATGCTGCTCTGCTGCTGCACTTCGGGCTGGTAGCCTGACATTTTGTTAGCAGATCACATGCTGTCAATGCTGGAACAACTTACCCTGCTCGAACTGGCCCTTGCTGGAAGACATCGTGTGCTTGGGTATCTGATGTACTTTTGGTGAACTTTTAGAATCTGAATAGATCGAGCAAAGTCGTAAGTTGAATGTAGGTGGTAGATGATTTGCCGTTTGTGAGAGAAGCTGTGTTTTTATCAAAAGTCGCGATTTTCATTGACATCATAACTTGATCACCCAGCTGCACACTACATAGTTAAGGTGGAGCACCTCGCATGGCATTCCGACAGAAGACAATGGTAATTCAACGATATCCTCAGTATCCACGGTGATCTAGACCTTGTCGCATAGGCGCCGTTTCGAGTGGACAGAGAAGCCATCGTCTGAACTGCCTAATGCGATTGTATCGAGGAAGGTGGAGGTACTTCAGGCTTGAGCTTCAAGTCATCGAGTGCAAGCTCCTCTCTGGAGACAAGAGATGTGAAAATGCGTAGAAGGCAGCACGCAGCGTATGAAGAGGAAGCACATTATAGTCCATTGAGTATACGGAATGCCAGCCTATTACGAATCCATCAAGTAACATCTCCTTGGTCTGTGTGCCTATATTGCAAGCACGAACCACAGGTGAACGCCCCACCGCTACCCCTCTACGCGCTCTTCACAAAATTTCAATCAACCATACGTCATATCCGCCAAGCAACATTGATCAATTGGAAGGTCGGACCTCAGAGCCGAGTTCAACGAGCTGCGCGGGAGCCATTGTGTTCAGCCTTGCGAAGCTATTCATGGGGGTATGACGTAGCTCGAAGTTCAGAAATCAGGGTCCGCGAGCTTTGGCCGCTGTCAGCCACCATCCTTAACGTTCTCGACCATACCAACCCAGCACCCTGAAGTCATCGGCGCCGGAGCTGAGATCCTGCTCGAACATATCTGGGAAATAACAAGCCACATCAGCAGATTACGCGCCAATAGGCACAATGCGCCATCAGTCGTGAGGCCTTGCGTACGACCCTGCATGACGTGCCCCTACTGGGCGCGGTGATGATCCCACCGTATCTGGGAACTTGCAAGACGGGACTTGTTTTTGCTGTGTAAAGACGTAAGACTAGTGAGTCTGGGACAGTGAGATGTCTTGATATAAAGGTAGGCGTCGTCGTACTTGGGACTCATCATTCAAATAACCGTCAACCGTCAACCATCTATCAACAGCCTCCACGCTATATTCTACTACAACTCAAAGCAACCCCACTCAACAACATATCAGCCATCAACATGCCTCTTACATCTTCCCGCGCCCACCGCACTACGGCTGCTCCCCGCACCACACGGACTACCCGCTCTACTGCACACCCAAGTCTCAAGAGCAAGCTCCTAGGCGGCGGCACCAACCGACGCACAGCTACCAAGCGTAACCCTGTCACTGGCACAACGACCACTACTACCACAACAACTAAGACCACACGAACCACCGGTGGTCGTCACACCGCTAGCCATCACACCACCGCTGGCCCCGCCCACCACCACAAGCGTCATGCCACCATGGGCGACAAAGTCTCTGGGGCCCTCACCAAGCTCAAGGGCACCCTTACAGGCCGACCTGGTGTCAAGGCTGCTGGCACTCGCCGTATGCATGGCACCGATGGTCGTAACGCCCGTCGTGTTTACTAAGTTCCCATGAAGCGACGTTGATGATACCCATTGTGCGTTTCCATTGTTGTACTATTATATCATTATGTTGACAGGAGGACTGTATGATAGCGATTTTGAGCGACGATACCAGGTTCTTGGGCTTTAAATACTAAGAATCAAGATTTCATATATACAGTGATCTTCCACAAGTGAACAAATGTGCGTTGAAAGCTTCATTGAGATTGTCTAATTGCTATCGCTCATGTCTGAGCTTCATGTCGTCATACACAAACAAGGGGTATCTGAACGCGAAACTTTTTGGTACACTATACTTCGTTTTCGCATCTAGCGAACCGATTTCACTCCAAATCCTCATCTTACAACGTCTGCTTGCCCCTAGTCTCGATAGGCAGCAAAAGCATACTGAAGAAAGCTGCGATAAACAAGCCTCCCGATGCGTAGATGGGCGCCTTGGGGTTGCTTGCACCAGCCTGGATAGCAACAATCGGCGCACAAAGACCAGCCAGACGGTTGAGGAAACTCGACATTCCAGTTCCCGTACCACGGATTGGCGCAGGGAAAACTTCAGGTGTGTAAGCATACAGCACACCGTACATGATGTTCTGGAAGAACGCCTCGAGGCAAGTGAACGCCAGCTGGAAGTCCGAGTCGGAAGAGATGGTGAACAGAAAGACGAAGACACCAGTGATGACCGTACCGAAAGCCATGGTGCCCTTGCGGCCGATGTACTTCAGGTCGACGGTCCAGCAGGCGAAAAGAGAGCCGGGAACACCAACGATGGCGGTAATGGCGTAGTTGCGATAGACGGTTGCGACGCTGTTAGTAACCTCGCCGCCGGAGTTGGCGAGGTACTGGGGGAGGAAGGCGTTGAAGAGGGGGTAGCCCATGCCGACGGTTGCCCATTGGAACCAGAGCAGGCAGGTCGAAATTGCCAATGTGCGGTTCTCGAACAGGGCGCTGAAGCGCTGAAGCGAGAACTTGCTCAGCGAGCGCTTGATAATCTCGAAGACGCTGAGGCCGACATCCTCCTGGGTGACCTCCTGGTCGCCGCCAACGTAGTTCAGGATGTCCTCAGTGAGCCAGGTAGTAGTCTTGTTGTAGTGCGCAATGCCGTAGATGGTTGCGACAGCCTCAGCTTGGCGACCGCGGGAGAGCAAGAACTTCGGCGACTCATAGAGGTGGAAGAGGAAGAAGCGGCAGACGAACATGAGAGCGGTGATGGCACCGAGCGTGATGACCAGGTATCTCCAGCCCATGTTGTCTTCCTTAGCGCATTGTCCGAGGGGAGTATCCGAAGAGCAGCTGAAGTTGGGAATGTATGCCCAGGCCAAGAGTGAGGCGATCAGGTTGCCCACTGGCCAGAAGACTGATAGTAGAGTCAGGAGGCTGCCAGATGTCTGTGGCAAAAATTCCAGGAACAGAGCACCATCGACAGGAAGGTTACCGCCTACACCAAGACCAATGCAGGCGTACAAGGCGCAGGTACCGATCCAGTTGGGTCCACCGCCGGAGGCAAGACCGAAAACACCAGCGAGGAAGAGGGTGAAGTTGAAAGCTAGACGGCGACCGATAACATCTGAGGCAGTTCCCCAGAAAGAGGCGCCGATGCAGAGACCAAGGAACAGTGCCAGAGTTGTGTAACGGACTTCCGTCTCGCTGACGCCAAACTCAGCAGACAGTTGGGGAAGGGTAAGAGCGACACCCTGAAGCCACAGGTTGTCGGCCATCCAGCCACCTCCGCACAGAGCGAAGAGCTCCCATTGGTATTTGCCCATGCCCATATCTTGGAGGGCCTTGTTAATGACCTTTGCCTTGCCTGTAGATAGTCAGCGTTAACTCCATAGACAGCCCCTTACTCTTCGTGATCGTTTTGTCTCACGGAGATGTTCAACGTACGATCATAGGGCGTGTCCTGGTCAGCCGCTCCAACATCGGCGATGATCTCCTGCTTCAACGATTCCTTAGTCATGCCATGGTTAACAACACCGCTTCCTGATTCACTCGGAGGTCGCGTGGCGGCAGGCGTTTCGTCCTTGTTACCCTTTTCACTTTGAGGTACTGTAGAGAAGATTGAAGCGCGATGGGTAGACTGATCAAGAGGAACTAGCACGTCCGGAAACTCCGAGACATCGTGCTTCTTGAAGGGGTTGATGAACATAGTTCGAGGCATTTTGTTGCTAGGGAGATGGGTGTCGATTTGGGTGCACGGGAAGGTCACTTGGCGCTGTGGTCAAGAAGTCGCTAGAGGGGCTTGTCGCGAAGGCTTGTCGAACGTTTGTCTGCCGCTTGCGTATGGTTTGTCGCGCGAGGAGGTGGTCGCTAGGCGGTAGTCGGTGGGTTGAAGGGTGATCGGGTCTTCACTCCGCTGTCACCAAGAAAAAGTGTGCGAGGAGGCTTGTCGAGCTTGTGGAAGCTTGTATTCGGGACTGTTTACACAGCAATATTCGGGAGAGACCAACAAGAATCGCGGAAAAAAATGTAAGAGAAGCTCTCACAAGCGCATCCATGGTAGCGTTCATATACTGGGGCGACTCCAGGCCCCACGGCACGAGATGTTGAACACATGGGTGAAAGTGGATCTCATCTGTGCTATCCAAACCCTCGTGCCAAGCCTCGCTAGACTGCTAAGGCGAATGACGTAGCAGTAATCATTGCTTGGTCGGTAACCGCTGCCGGGCTAGTGAAGTACCAACGTCTATCACCGTAACGATCATTGAAATGGGCGGCTGTGGTTCGCTTAAGCCTCGACGCTAAGGCGTATCAGTCAATGGCGCAAGTCAGTTCCTCAGAATTTTCGTACCCACAAAACTTCTTTCTCGTGAGAATGGATCTTTTGCCGTCGGAAACTGCCTACTGTAACCATATGCCAGGTTTGCCGCGGCTGTCGCGTGCACCGATTGCTCATATCGAGACGATGCCAACCCAATGGCGGACCCGATGCCATGCCGGGAGCCGCAACACCATGCGGCAAAAATTTACGTTATGGGTTAATTTCACGATGCAAGGCCCTCAAACATACTTTGAGATCCACTGCGACGCTCCAATGGAATCGTGGTGTTGTGCCCTGTTGTCCCGTCGAGCCTTGGCTGAGGTCCTTCATCAAAGCTTGCGTTCATTCCGTATGAGACTCCGCAATTCAGAACTATTCTAAGTCATTTATTACAGAGGGACTGAGAAACTGGGTATTCGTTCACAAATTGACAGCCTTGAGTATCTTGCAGATTAATGTCGCATTTCATCTCGATCTCTCAGTGGCAAGACCCTGAGATGGATCTTCCCAATGCTGGGCCCTGACAGAAGGCAAGAGCCATGGACTGTCGCGACCATGGACCCTTCCTCCATTAGAGTAGATCCACAGTTCTGCTCCACTTGAAGAAACTTCGCGACTTCCCAGGTGGTCGTATGATACACGAACGATACGTTCTCGGCCGGCTGGCCAAGAGTAAACAGAAAACTAGAAGGCTTTCCAAGCCCGTTGCCTAAACATCTTGTAGACTTCAGAACAGGCATGGCTACCTTTTATATCCCTCTGCTGTGGGAATCATGGCAGCACTTAAATAAGACAGTGCAAAGGGAAATCACAATGTCGTGTCTTGCAGCATGAGGTGCATCATGCCGTCCCCTTCGATCTCAGATCGCTCTAAGATTCTTGTGAGGAACTGTACTCTCAATGAGAGTGCGAGAACGTGTAGAGCTACAGGGGACGCCAACCAAAGCTCGACAATTTTAGGTCAAAAGGGCATGCACAACGGTGGTTCATCTATGACTAGACTTGAGCACAGTGAGTCAACGTATCTGTCGAATGCATCGGAAAATTGGCCTTAGTTCCATGAAGAGCATCCAACGCCGCACTGCAAAGTAGACGCAACGGTCGCCAAATCATGTTTTCGGGATGAAGTCGGGAGGTTGCTCGTCAGGTCTATGCGATCTGTTTGGTCTGAACGGCATGATCTGAGGCTCTACCCTACTGATGAGCTTGTGAGAGGAAATATCACCCACCGCATCTCCCTCTAAAGTCTCCAAGATCGCGTGCTCGATCCGTTTTACGCCACAATGAGAGATCGGTGGACAACAGCTGCCGCGACTTGCATGTACAGCTTTGATGCGCCATGTTTCCGTAGGTACTTGAAGAGACAGTAATGTTGATCTGCTCCTCTGAACTCGAGCTATGTCAAAGGAAGGTTTTTACATCAATGAATGTAAGGCTACCACTGTCGGTTCTCTCTTGTCTTTACTGTAAAAAGTTAACGCCTTTCGAAAAGCACAAAAATAAACGAACACCAGGTCCAGGCTAGCATATTTTAATTTTCGGTTGCCCAAAACATGGTCTCAGATGGTGAGGATTACTAAGGGGTTACTACAGTACTGCGTCGGATATGGTCGGGCCTGCCGACGTATTTCGGACTAGTGAAGATGATATACTAGGAACGTACCCTGCACCTGCGGATAACACGACCCCTCCGCGAAACCGTATATTTCAAACTTTGCCCTGTGTTGTACCTCGTCATGGAGCTCAATGTGCGCATAAGGATTATTTATTGGTACAGTGTGTAGCCTATCGATTGAACTTGTGGCAATGGAGGGCAGCACTCGGTCGAAAGGATGCAGTCGAGCCATATATGACTTTACAATTAGGAATCCATCAGCTGGACGTATTCTTGCTGGAGCTCAACAGGGAAACTGATCCAAATTCAGATCCTCCCAATCCCAGATCTGCTCCATGCCGCCCATGTCCAGAGCTGCAGCATTTCCGAGGGGGTTCTGCGCCAGAAACTGATCCACGTCGAACGAGAAATTATTCAGGATTGGCATAGAAGGAGCTGGCTCCACAGGAACGTAAGTCTGCGGCAGGGCTGATACCATGGCTGGCGGCTGCGTAGGATGGTCGACTGAGCTAGTGATTGAGTCTCGCGAAGAAGCATGATGCACAAGAGGCGGAGGCTCGAGCGTGCGAGTAGAGGTAGACGGCTGTTTCCGGGCGCGCTTTCTGTTCTCTGTGCCACGCGACAGCTCAGGATGGGACTGGACCAGCTTGTAGAGGAAGGCGTAGGATGATGCACCGAGCTTTGTGGTCAAGCTGAGTTGATGCAGCATGTCGAGCGAGCCGTCGATGGCATTGGTCACTTCGTCCCGTCGAGGCAAACGACCTTCGTGGTCGTGGATGATAGCCGAGCATAGGATCGTCGAAGTGTCGAAGATTGAGAACACGACCATGTGAAACTTGGCGTTTATGGGAAATTCATGATCGAACAGACGTCGAGCGACCTTGAGGACATCAAGAGCCAGATCTATCCCCATCGCTAGAAACTCATCATCTCGATCGGTCTTCTTGTCATCTCGAGCGCGCGTAAGGAACGGCTTCAGGAAGTCGAGCTTGGTCACATACACCACGGTATGGAGCTGATGACGCTGAAATACGAAGTACGGATGTTCGGCGTCAAGTGAGGTGTCTGGATCGTGGAGCCGGAATATTGTAGGAAGTTCATCAACAAACTTGTCGAGCTCGGCTTCTATAGTGACGATCTCATCAGCGGATAGGTCGTCTACAGACTGCGCATCACCCATGATGGTATTTAGTCGTCGACCGAGACTCGCTTGGAGAGCCATGTGAGCAAATGGCGACAGCAAATTTGGCTCCGAGCTCGATTGGTCCAATCGCAGGTTCGGTAACTTGAAGTTAAGGTTCTTCTGGTCAATAAGGTTGGGTCTTCCTAGCCAGGCCCCCATTTGCCTGCCAAAGAATCAGCTGTAAGCTCATCATTGGTTCTTGCGCAAGCTTACCAATCCCAGATGTATAATAAGGCCCAAATCCTCCTCCTGATCTCGATGTCGAATTCGCTCAGCCCCTCGATATTGGCATCCCTATCGATCCCCAATTCCTGCGCTTCTCGTATTGTACAGCCCAGCGCATGCCAGGACTCGACGATTTTCGATTCTGATTTGAGCCAGGCACCTTTCAAAAACTGTTCTTGGACACGTTCGATACACGTGTTCGAGGCTGTGAAGCTTTGACTGAGCTGCTCTGCGGCATTTGAAAAACGATCAGTAAGCTGCTGGAGGTTACAGGCCAGCTCGAACTCGATCATTTTTCGTAATGATGGAGTGAGATACTGGACAGAATATGCGCATATTCTCAGGAGGAGGCAGGTAAATTCTGGAGACAACTGTTTGCTGGCGGCTCGATCAGCCCACCACTGCACGTACTGATTCGTGAAAGTTGGTGCGTAGATCGTGCTGTATCGGTAATTGACTACACCAAGGAAGTGATTGACGAAAGCGTCTACATGGAGTTAGCAATGGCTTATGTTGCAGATCTAAAAACCTTCTCACCAGTTATTGATCTTGGCGGAACAGCGTGTAGCACGCGCTCCACAATATCAACTCCTGTTGGCTCTGATGCTGTTTGCTTCCGTTGGAAACCCTGCTTCCCAATCAGTATCTACGCCGCAATGTAGGCCACAGGAGCGTTTACATCATCGGTAGCTCCGACTTTCCAGTGCACATGGCCCGGCATATAACCCCAAACCTTGAGGCCATCTTCGCTCTGTCCGGCCTCGCCATTCTGCGGTAGAGTAGAGGCTCCTTCAAACGAATTGGGATGACACCTTTTCTGGCCTCTGCTCTCACCAGAAACCTCCCTGTGCATACATTGTTACCACAAAGTCCATTCTCGTTTGTATACACCCTACGTACCGTGCAGAGTCTATCGGAGACTCATGCTGCGGCTTTTTCACAGCAAATTGGCACAGATGAGCGACTTTTCTTGCCTGGCAGTGGTTACATGGCCATTCGCGAGAACACTGTACATGCCATTAGCCAGGCTTCGCATGCAGAGCACGATGATAGTGCTCGCCTTTTGCTTGCGCCGTTGGCACTCTGTGCACGATGTGGTAGCTCTGCTGTCTTTCTGAGTTTGCATAGTAAGAGACGAAGGAAAGAGGCGTTGATGACGATGTAATGGTTGAAGAACAACAGTTTCTGAACGTATGCAGTATACTCTTGGGTCGTTCTAGCTTGCAAGCTGGTGGATCTAGGTCCGTAGAAGGTTGAAATTCTCTCCACAGGTCCCACACTGTCTGCCCCGCTTAACTCCGGGGATTCACGTGATGTGGCGAACTGTCGTACGAGCATCTTGTAAACTGGAGGCTATCGGTTGTTGTGCTTTTGAGCGCGAAGCGTCGATCTTTCAGGGCAACATTCGATGCATGCCAATGCGACTCTGCAATAGCACGAGTGGGAAGGATGCGCTTATCAGCTGAATCGGCGATTTACAACTGACTCTTCCGCGCAATATTGCTGCGTACGACGTCATTCACGTCCATCTTGCAAGAACATCAACAGAAACGATCATTCGAAGCCGGACAAGATCGGATGAACGTGAGGTGTGCAATTTGGATATTGCCAATCTGGTCCGGCTAACAGATTACTGCCAAGCTCGTGTCTGAACGCGTCCTCGGCTGGCATTCTCGCCCGACTCCCGATTGCGCGCAATCCTCATCTTTGAGGCTGCAGAGCCTCAATCTTGCAAACGGTGATACCCCTCCACATCGATTTTTTGTTGCGCAACATTATCGCACACGAATGCCTCACAAACCGCGATGAGTTCAGATTCACAAACACGTTTTGTGCCACCAAGCCGACGAAGAGACAAGCCAATCGTCTCTTGTACTCTTTGTCGGCGTCGAAAACTCAAATGCGACCGGCAACAGCCCTGCAAAACATGCGTCGACAGAGGTCTGGCATTGTCATGCACTTATGTGCGCAGTACTCCAGCTCCTCAAGAGCCGAAAGCCCCTCACAGTGTGCATGACCGTATCGACCAATTAGAGAAGCTAGTGACAACACTCATGAGCGGCAAGGAAGTTGGTCACGGTAGTCCGGCTACGCCAGCGATGCCACATCTCCAGCATCTGAACGACGAGGACGATACAGGGATACCGAACACACCGGATCGCGTGCGTTTCACCGGCGACACAACGAGCTACGCAAACAGTGCGCATTGGACCAGTATCCTGGACGGTGTAAGTCAATACTAAGAGGTAGTTGTACTGTACTGACACAGCCGCAGATATCAGAGCTTCGCGAGCACCTCGATGAGATGCCCACTACAGCACATTCAAGAGACGATAATCTTACTGATGTGCCAGGCCCGGACATCCTGTTCGGCCGACAAAGGCATGCAACCAAGCAGGAATTATTGGCGGCTCTGCCTCCACGTACGGAAGCTGATCAGTTGATCTCCACGTACTTCGCATCGATGGACACATCACCAAGTAAGATCTGAGAGCCCTGGAACCATGTAGCTAAATTGATTGGCAGTCGCAGACTTAGTACACAAACCTACATTCTTGAGAGAGGTAAGAAGAATCTCCAAACCCTCTCTGATATCTACTGACACCAGGCTCCAGTATGCCAGATTCTGGACTCGACCGTTCGAAACACCTACCATGTGGCTGGGCTTTTTATTCGCTACCTTAGCCCTCGGCGCGCAATTCCAAGCTGGCCTTGACCATGAGGTAGCTCTGCAAGGAGCTGCTACGCCTTCGTTGTTCACTGCACGTATACACTTCTACCGCGAAAAGCTCGTACAATGTCTTGTGCTGGCAAACTATGCGAAATGCCCTCCATACACGGTTGAAGTGCTCATCATGTACTTTGGTACCGAGTATCTACGTTCAGCCGACTCGCAATTCAGCATGTCAATCCTCGTGGGAATTATCGTCCGAATTGCCTTTCGCATGGGCTACCACAGAGAGCCGTCAAGGTTTGCAGATATCTCACCGTTCAGAGCAGAAATGCGACGTAGGACGTGGCTCATGGTCATGTCACTTGATCTCGCCACGTCGTCCCAGGTCGGTCTGCCTAGGCTCATACAGCCGTTCATGTGCGATACTCAGGAGCCTCGCAATCTGCTCGAAGAGGACATTCACGAGGATATCGCCGAGTTGCCTCCGTCACGACCGGAGACTGAGCTGACGCCTTCTTTATACACTGTGGTTTTGACGCGCGTGCGGCTTGCACACGCGAAGGTTATGGATATGATGAACGCCACATCTCAATCTCCATATCGAGAAGTGATGGAGCTGGACGCGATGTTTCGAGAAGTATATACCAAGCTGCCTGAGTGTGCTAAACCGATACCGGGCGAGGACTTCGACGATACGCTCTCACCGGCGTCGATGCGACGTTTCTACCTCGGATTGTCGTTTTTGAAGAGCGAGATGCTGTTACATCGTCCCTATCTTCTACTTGGTCGCACCGACCCCAACTACGAATACTCTCGGCGAGTCTGTCTAAATGCAGCGACTGAGATGTTAGGCTTCCAGAGAAAAGTCGACGGTGAGATCCGGCCAGGGGGCAAGTTATGGTCCCAGGGCATGCAAAGCTTTATTGTCAGTTGGTACATGTCCTCGATCGTGGCGCACGACTTTCTTCTCGCGACTACTATTTTGATTCTTGATCTGGACACGGACCTGACTTCGCCAATACAACCAACGCCTGCGACACCTACGAGTGGGCTACAACTCGATCATGGACCACCAATACGGTCGGAGATCATAGAAGCATTACAGAACGCGTACACGATCTGGTCCAAGGCAAGCAAGAGGTCGCACGAGGCCCGTAAGGTCGCTGCTGCCGTGAAGCTGGTACTCAACAGAGCAAACTCAAGTGCACACATCACACAGAGCCAATCTTGGAGTGAGTGGAGCCGGTTGCGATGATATGCAATTTGGACAATATCTGACACCGGATTGCAGGAAGTGTAGCCCCAGAACAGATCGACACAGCATCCCCAGCGTCATCCTTTGATTTCAATGACTTCGCCACCGAAGCTGCAAATCCTAACTACCAGTTCATGGGGACTGGTGGCTATGCGAACCCATTTCTCATGCCTGATGTACCCATGGACCTCGATGCGTTCACGGAAAGCTTTGGTTGGGTAGGTGTTAATGCGAACCTCAGTCGAAAAGTTTGCTGATAATCTTGTTAGGGCGGGTTCTCATCGGATCTTCAACCGCAGGCCCAAGCCTACCATACTGAACAGAGGTCGATATGATCACATGTAACCGAGGAGTACCTATGGTACTGCGCAGCTAGCTCCACTGGGTCTTTCATATTCTGTTGAAGCACTTCATCCAACAGCCCTCGCACTTCGACTGTTGGCTGCCCGGGATGTTGGATGGATACAAAACACCAATGCACTTTCGAAAAATCTGTGGCTTGCGTAAAAAGCTGTCTGTGCGGTTGGAAGTCACTACATGAAGTCAACACAGAACTACTCCAGGCCAAAAAGTGATGGTCCATGATCGTTGTGAGTCTGTCACTAGGCTGCTGCACATTTGATTCTACGCAGTTCCGGTAAACAGCTTTCTGATGGCATGCACAATTATATGGATCGCCTGCGACAAAACAGAGAAAGAAGTGTTAGTGTACTTGTGTTTCTGATTTGGGCCGGCATTGGATCGTCAACTCCACCGAAGACCCAAGATCTCGATCCAAACAAGGATCTGGTCGGCTACTCTGCCCAACTGGGCGAATTATGCGACCGCATTCTTTTTACGGTGTTTTGTCGGTCGCTCAAGCCGGTTTGAGGTTCCTATAACTCGACATGAGGACTGAAGCTGTCCACGTCTCACCATATCCAGACATCAAGGTCAAAGCTTGTAACAATACATGTCAACTTCAACTTTGAAAACCTTCATTGGACTCTCATGCGTTTCAATGTTGAGCAGAGTCACCGCTGCAGAATTTGCTGTTTTATGGTTCTTGGGCTGACGTAGTTCGCTCTTACACCACGGTAGCTCTACAACCGTTCGAACGCGACTGCGATCGGAGCCTGCTAAGAACACTGATCTGGTTGCTAGGTGGACATTGTATTCGCATGGTGTTCAAGCAGGACTGCGTGAACATCTCGGTCCAACCATGCTGGTTGACGTCCGCGGGTACTACCGCATTCGAAAGCTAATCAACCTCCATCATGCGACAGCGCACCTACCCCACACTATCGCCCACGAAGAACCATGGAGTTTAAAGTTCATAAAGCCCGCTCGCTTCGTCTCGGGACATTGAAGAATTGCGTCACTGCTGCGTGCACCTGCAGTTCCTCAAGCAATTACTCTTAACAGCAGCAGTAATGCCACCTGAGTTGCTATACACGATCTTGGATGACAACTCCATGTACTAAGTGCAGCGCACTTACACACAAGAGCATCAGCTATGGCGACCGAAACACAGTTCCCGCACATATTCTGGGAGGAGAAGATTTCCATCGAACCTGACCTTGGAGACCAACGGCAATCGACTTACAAGGCGCTGCCTTCGCCGCCAAAGACCCCGAAGAGGGTCATGATGAAGTACAGATTTTCTGGCGTCTTCCCTCTGGTACTTTCGCTTGCAACTTTCATCCTCACTCTGGTTGTGGTGCTGGCTGGGCAGAATGCGGGCATGTTTGAGGGGCAGTATCTAGTCACCGTATGTTCCAGGTCAACAAGCTGCGAGGCGAAACTAACAACCACCAGCTGAATACCTCCCGAGCTGGACAGGATGTTGTCACTTTCGAGAAAGCAAGCGTAACATCGGAAGCGCCTTCAGCTACTTCTTCTATGAAGTCCGCTCCTCTTGATCCACTGATATCATCCTCAACGAGGAGCCCGCTCAATTCAACAGATCCAGACAATCCTCTTAGTGGGCTCAGCGAAATGTTGGGCAGCCTCTCTGGCAACCTCACAGATGCCGTCAATGATGGCCTCGGCGAAGTGATCAATGGCGTGGTCAAGGGTGTTGTCGATCAGACCGGTGTTAAAGACTTATACTACGTTTACCTTCAGAAAGTCTGCTCTGGTAGGCTTGCTGGTGCAAACAAAGGCATTGCAGATGGAGTCAAAACAAATGACTGCCATAGCTGGGAAGATGCAGGCGATAGTAAGAAGAGCTCCAGACAGACATCCAAACTTGACTAATGATTCCAGGCATATCAGCGTTGAGCAGGAGCATGCGCTCGTCCATTGTCATCGGCCAAACTCAAGTCTCTATCCCGCTACTTGCCAAACTCGTCTCTTCTCTCGACAGCATCCTAGATAACCTTGGCGCACTACGCAAGGCTATCCTTGCATTCCTGATCATCACCCTGATTGGCTCAATTCTATCGGCAATCTCCATCCTTCCAGCAATGTGCTTTCCACAGTCAAGGCTCCTCATCTACCTCAACATGTTCTGGCCGGGACTCGCAACCGTGTTTGCATTTGTTGCAGCAATGGCACTCTCAGCAATTAGTGTGCTGGCAGGCATCGTGAACGGGTTCAGCGACACAGTGGGAGTGCAAATCAGGCAAGGAGGAATGCTACTGCTGTTCGTATGGCTGGGCTTTGTGTTTGTGAGCTTAGTGACATTGTACTGGGCCAGCGTATGGTTTGTGGCGACTAGGAGGTCAAGCTTCGTCAGGCGTCGTCGTGATGAAGATGAGATCGGCCACTGGAGGGGCATTGGAAAGGAGATTTGGCGAGATCTCAAAGGCAGGCGGAGAAGGCCGAGCATGCGAGCAGATATATGAACATGATCAATGCAACTCATGAACAAGTAAACAATACGGGCCGGGCATTTCATCTTCAACACGATAAGATAAAAACGGTCTGGCCCTTCTCTGTTTACGCACCCCTGATCTGCAGTGGCGGGTGGCGTGAATGCAACCAATTATCGCGCGACGGTGAGCCCACACACCACACTTTCTCCACAGGACCCTCTGCCAAGCCAGGGGAGAGCTCAGCATTTACAGACATTTCGACATGCCATTGCTTGCACACTGAAGCCAGTCCTCACACATCTGTTCAATTGCTACTACCGTAGCTCTGTTTTTGTACAATGCGGGCCTCAACCACCACGGCCACGGTGCCGCCCCGCGAGCCCGCCAAACGCAGCTTCACTGTAACGGCGGAGAAGCTGAAGGCGCAAACTGCTCATGACCACGAGGACTTCTTCTGGACATACACCGAAGAGCCACATAGGACGCGTCGTATGGCCATCATCAAGGCACATCCAGAGGTACTGCAGCTCTCTAATACACCATAGCTGCTATCGCTCACTGTATCAGGTCACCAAGCTCTGCGGCCCCGAGCCCCTCACCAAATACGTTGTCCTTCTTGTCGTGTCGATCCAGATCGCCTGCGCCTGCCTCCTCCGCAACACACCGGTGCTGTCCTGGCCGTTCTTCCTGACAGCATACATTGTCGGCGCCACAGCGAACCAGAACCTTTTCCTTGCCATCCACGAGATCTCGCACAACTTGGCCTTCCGCTCGCCGCTAGCCAACCGCATCATCGCTGTCTTTGCAAACCTGCCCATTGGCATCCCTTACAGCGCCTCGTTTCGCCCTTACCATCTTACCCACCACAAGTCGCTTGGTGTAAACGGTCTCGACACCGATCTGCCCACCGCCTTCGAGGCATGGTTCCTTGACTCGGTTGCCGGCAAGGCCTTCTTCTGCACTTGTCAGATCTTGTTCTACGCCCTGCGACCCATGTTCATCTACAACCTGCCGCTTACCAGGATCCACCTCTTCAACATCGTCGTCCAGCTCGCCTTCGACTACGCACTCGTACAGTTCGCAGGAGGAAAGGCATTGGCGTACCTGATCATGAGTAGCTTCCTTGCTGGCTCGTTGCACCCCTGCGCCGGCCACTTCATCGCCGAACACTACGTCTTCGAGAAGCCCGAGAAGGACGCGTCAAACCCTGCGAATAAGATCCCCATCCCGGAGACATACTCGTACTACGGCATCCTCAACTTTTTCACATACAATGTCGGTCTGCATAACGAGCACCACGACTTCCCCGCGATCCCATGGACAAGGCTTCCCAAGTTGAACCGCATTGCGCACGAGTTCTACGACGAGTTGCCGGTACACAAGAGTTGGGTCTATGTTATGTGGCAGTTTGTGATGGACAAGGACATCAGTCTGTGGTGCAGAGTGAAGCGCGAGGAGGGTGGTCGCAAGGTTGGTGCTGGCAGCGGCTGGAGCGAAGAAGAGCTCGGTAACAACGAGAAGAAGGGTCGCATCCCTGGTGTCTTCTGATGATCTGGCTATAGACGATTTGCATGGAACGGCGTTTTAGCGGCATATGATCTTTATGGCACAAACAATTGCAATGTTTCGACTCCAACTGGATTTACCCATCACGTGAATCGCATTTCGTTGCGCGACAAAGTCAGCAACGCGACACGACTAAGGAACGAGGTGCAAATCAGATCTCGACATTTTTTGGACTGGGTAACAATTCCACTGTGCCGCCGCTTTGCCGTTGTTCGTTGCGGCTGACAAGGCATACTTACAATGACGTTTAACACCATCACAGATACGTCAACCACTCATGCAGCATGGATCTGCAGCAACACCTCCAATAAGTACTCAATTGTTATGCTACATCTCCTGACAGATCCAATCCATATTCCAAAACAACACTCACAACACCCAGTAACCAATTGCTCCTTAACCACACCTACAACTGTTTCCAACATCGTCACAATGGCATCAAGAATCCTTCAATCTTTCACGCGTTCAGCGCCTGCAGCAATCCGCTCCTTCCCACAGCGCACAATAGGTATGCATAGGACTATAAATGCTATCCGTGAATCAATAATCAATGCATTTCAGTCCTCGCACCAGCACTCACACGTACCTATGCTGTCAACCCCAGCTCCTCATCGGCATCGCAAAACAACTCCAACGCCTCAAACCCCCAAGCCTCGTCCTCTGAAGCACAAGACATCAACGCGTCAGCCGCAACACGGGGAATCAAGGACCAGGACACGGGCTCTGTTGCGAACCCTGTAAGCCACCCGGAGGATGGAGAGCTTGGTGCTACGGAGGAGACAACGCAAAGCCAGGACGCGATGAACCATGATCCCAAGGAGAGCGATGCGAGCAAGAAGGAGAAGACGTTGAAGTTTGGACAGAACCAGCCATTGGATGCTGCTGACAAGTAAAGTCTGGGCGTAGGGAGGCTGTATTATAATGCAATGAGAACGTAAAAGAATGTCACTGCAAACCATTTTCTTGTATTCGAAATGTGGCGTTGATAAGATATTGAAGCGGTGTCGTATCCTGTCACGGTTTGGGGTGCTCCTGCCTGTCGTACCTCACCTCCATGAGAGTGACTGCCACGTCACACTAGCGTTGTTTACAGCTACTCACCTATATATACTGTTCGTAGCTTCACTCAATACAACCTCAGTACAATCTTCAACTTCTTCCTTTGCGTACAGTTTTTCACTGAACTCTGACATATCCCGTTATGATAAGAAGACTTAATGCTAACTGTGCCTAGATGTTGATACTCGAACTCCATAAGCCAATAGATCAAGCAGCATCGCAACACCAGTGCCCAATACTGTTAGAAGATGCAGAGAGCACCATGTCCTCGCCGGCGAGCCTGAACATGCCGATAGTGCTGTGGACTACAGTGCTCCAGGCACTGCAAACTAGGCTGATTGCATCGATCGTCAAAACAATGCGCCCGATCAAATCACTTGTCCAAAGCAATCGAGGTCGACATTTCGGACCACCACCAAGGTAACCAGAATTGCCATGTGTATATTAGAATCGCGATGTGCAATTTTTTCTGATTGTTGCCAACTGGAGCCGTCAATGTGCCGTAGAGCGCCATATATTCACTCAGAGTCGCAGTCACCGTCTTCGAGAAGCATATCATGCTTCACACAATCGGCTTGAAAAGTGCGTAACCACTCCAGACCACCTTCATCCTCCTCCTCGTAAAGTTGTGTGCTAGGACGAACTTCCACTGTGAACATCCACGATACTTGGCAACAACTGCGAAAAGTCGTAGGAGGTTATGACCTGCGTCCGCAGCGATTCTATAAAGCCTGGGTTACTGCGTGAGAGCAGAAAATATCTGTATGTCCACATGCCAAGGTCCCATGCCTCAATCCTAGAGTCCATGTTGAAAGGAACCACTTCATAGAATAAGCTTCGTAGGTAAACTTCGACTGTGCGTCGGGGATCCGTGTCTGTAGGGGCAACGCTCGATGAGGAAGTCTGAACCCAGCTTTGGCATCGTGAAGATGCGATGTCGACAAGAGAGGCTGTGTAGAGAGTTGGATCGCCCCTCAGAATGGTGCTCGTAGAGACCTCGATCTTGGTGTGTCGAAATTTCCCGACGGACGCCCACATTGTGGCCTTACGCTTGCTTTCGAGCGGGGTGGCGATTGGCGACGGGCGCTGGCTGTTCCAGCGATAACATCCAAGGTACCATTCAAGCGCCTTGTTGATCTTCAGCAGCAGCAATCCTCGGTGCATCACCACCCACGAGGCCTCTTGTTGAAGGGAGTGAATATATCCACCGATTGCCATCTGTTTGCTAGCGGTCTGCTGCACTGATTGTCCAGCTCATTCAGTTAGCTCGGTTTGCTTCCTCACCCCTTCACTGCTATTCCCTTCTACTATATTATCTTGATCAATTCCTGCCAATAGCTCTTGAGATCAATCAACATCTAAATCCTTCAACACCTCTTCTCTCACAGCCTTGGTCACCTGTAAGATATTGAAACGTCCGGATTGGATCATGGTGCGACTATTGTGCTTTAGACAAGCCCTTCGCTCTCGAATGGTTGTTCCAAGCCCGCAACACTCTTTGACAGTGACAGGTGTACTGATGTCGAAGGCGATGTCGTATATCTTCTGTCGAATCTCTCTGGGAAGGACTTCGAGCGTGCCGCAACCACCCATACCTGCGATCCAAGGAGCTGTAGTCTGAGGCGACGGCTTTGGAGACAGTGGTGCCGCATCTTCAAAGTATCTGCGGGAAACTCTGGATGTTCGGGGGCTTTGTGGACTTGTGGAACTGCTCGGGCTCTGTGGCTCTTGTAGGCTGCGAGGACTTTTCGATGATCTGCACTTGAGTCAACACATGGACGTACATATTTTCCAAGCGATACTCGCCTGGCGACATCTGGAGAGCCCTATCGTTTCTCGTAGCACGGTGTGAACCGACCGTTGGACGCTCGCGACCTCTTCGGGGTGCTCGGGGGCGTCAAAGGGAGTGCATTGTCTAATCGACAAGATCTAACTTGATAGTCTGGCACCGGACTGGGAGACCTTGCTAAATCTATACGCTCTGAGGAATCTGATAGCGTAGGCGATGTTGCTCTAGCTCCAGGCTCGCTGCTCAAAAAACTGTTATCGTCCATCTTGGTATACTGTCAAGCCCACCAATTGGTCTGGTGGTCGACGGTGCTCCCTTGAAAGAGTTGTGTTGGACTTGCTTCGAGAAATGAGGCGAAGGTAAAGGAAAGATGGAGGTGAGAATTGGGCAACTTGATCACCTCCCGAGGGATGGTGTATTGGCGACCCACAAGCTATCCCTCAGACCTACCCTCTGAGCTCGACTTTTCCGCAAGTACCTGTCATCTTGATGGGCGTTACGATTCACTTCGGAAATTGTATGGTAGGTATTTACGAGGGTTGCACTATCTGGAGGAGCATTTGCTTGCCCAGTTCACAAGTATTTTTATAGTCCCAGGAAGGATTGCCAGAGTTTAGATAGCCTTCAAAGTGGCACTGAGTACTCATTCAGATCTAAGCTCATACCTAACTCGTTCCGCTGCCCGGAGGAGAGAGGATATCACAGTTGCGCAGAATTACGTAGGTAACAGAGTAGTGTGTCGAACAATTGCCATCACCAATGATTCGATGGCTGTGCCATGTTCGGGAAAGTAAAGGAGATGTAGGTGCCAAATGTTTAGTTATGTTGTTTTTTTCCCTTGTCTTGACGAACGAGGTAAGATACCTCAACATACCAGCCAGCTCATTGCATCTCCTTCCTTCCTCGACAGTTCTCAGATCACTTGCCAACGCGACGTCGCCGAAATGTCGCACACTTTTTGCAACACATACCGGCTGCAGTTGAACAAATTGATTTACACAGAACAGTCCGACTAAGCAGGACAGTCAGAGTCCAGTGATGGACTGAAGTGCAACTCTGAACGCTGTGGTAGCTCGCTTACTTGAATTTGCAGGGACACTATGAACCAGCGCTTGAAGAGGCGCAAACGAACTCTCGGAGGATGGGCCTTTCCAACCGTTCACCACGGCAGGCTGACCGAAGGACTCTCCGATTGGCTGCAGGACTTGAACTACCTAACTTCGCCTCCTGCCGGTAAATTCATCTGCAGCCCCAAACCTTACTTGCACTCCAACTGCTGGACGAAAAGGGTGAGAATAGTTCTGGGGCTTCGTTTAGGCATGTCTTTTGTGCGAAGCAATAGAACGCCTCAACCATCTGGTATCTAAGAGGGGACGTCTGGGATCTTATCTTAGATCAATCTGCAGCTGTGAGGAATGCATCGGCGCCCTCTTACCACGGGGTCATGTTCCTGGCCAATGCAAGGCATAATATAATGTATCGACCTTGAAAAGCTCTTGGACAAGTAGGCAAGGTCACTGGTCTTGAGTTTGTGCACTAGGCTTCATACAAGATGCTCAAGCTATGCAGTGTAGGACTTCAGCAACCTGAGATTTCACATTGTTACCATGACGACTTTTGCCAAGTCACTGCTGCTAGGGTTGCCTTCTTTACATTTAGTCATGCGTTGGCCCGGCCTCTAGCGACGGACCGTGGGTCTTGAACGACTACGACTATGTCGTTGTAGGCAGTGGAACAGATGGTGCACCTCTCGCTGCGCGCCTTGGGCTGGCAAAACACAAGGTGTTAGTTATTGAAGCTGGAGTCGACATCGCAACGAGCGACTACAATGCTATTGTGCCGCTCTTCAACGGCAAAGCCAGGGAGGACCCAAAGATGGCTTGGAACTTCTTCGTACGTTATCACCTTGACTGGGCCTCGTTCCTAGCTGACTTGTCCAGGTGAGCCACTATAACACCGATGAACGTAACACCCTAGATGCGAAGCATTACACTACTGCTTCGAACGGCACCTTGCAGCCAGTGGTAGCCCAGGTTGCGCACCCAAGGACTTCCTCTATCCTCGAACCGCAGCCGTTGGTGGCTGTGTCAACCACTACGCTCTCATCATGATGTATCCCATTGATGAGGATTGGTCGCAGATCTTCAACCTTACAGCTGATTCGGGGTGGAGCACTGGCTGCGAATGGAGAACTGCCAGTATATTTCTAGAGGCTCGTCGTACCATGGATCCAATGGAAGGATGTCAATCAATGAGCTGAAGAGCAGTTCTTCTTCTGTGATGACCAATGTTACGGAGTCGTTGTTGAGAACAAGGCTCGGTTGGGAGGCCATACTGAAACCTATACCGACCCGCAATCCGGCTACCCTATTGATATGGGAGTGAAGCTCTACCATGAAGAATCTATCGTCTACGAATGGTTTACCCGCTTCAATCCCACGATAGAGATTAATGTCAGCGTTACTGGCGGCGCGGCGGCTCAAAATGTCGACTTTCGGACTGGACAGATCTTGGACGGCCTCCCGGCTGCCAACCAAACAGTTATGGCAGCAGCTCTGCAGCGCTACGCCGCCATACTTCAAAACAAAGCCCTACAGCTAGAAGGCGGCTTCTAACTTCCTGAGCCTGTTCCTGAGGATCTGTATATGCCCTTCGGTCAGTTTGTGCAAAAATACGACACTGCCGACGCCGTGCAATTCATTTTTGGGATCTCGCCCGCTTTTGACGACATCCTCGAGCTTCCTACGCTGCATCGATTCCGCCCTCTTTCTCTCGGACTTCTCGCAATTACCAACAACTTCCAAACTAGCTCGGTCATGAACAACAGTCTTCTCTTTGGAGAAGGCTACTGCTGAGCTCCTCACGGCAAATTCGCTCCTTCTCTCCAAGGTGCTCGCAACAGAGCGTGTCAGCGATTCCGGCTCCGTTAAGGTCCTCGTCGATACACCCAAAGGCCGCAACCTCATCATCGCTAAGAAGCTTTTCATGACCGTACCTCCTACGCCTGCTGCTCTCACCGAAGTCAAATCCAACCAAGAAGAGCTGAGCATTTTTCAGCCAATTTCAGGCCGTTGGATACTACACCTCTGTCATCCGCAATGCGGGTCCCGTCAACATTACCCTGCAGAATCTCGCCCCCGACCAGCCCTACGCTTTACCTCCTGTGCCCGCCACCAACAACGTCAATCCTACATTTGTGAACCCGTCTCTCAGCCTTGTCTACTGCGGTACCAAAGTAGGTCAAATCCTTAATGACGATCAGGCCAAAGCCGCCATCATTGCAGATCTGAAGCGCTACCAGGCTGCCAACGGCATGGAGCCCACTGAATCCGAATTCGTGGCTTTCAGCAACAATAGCCCGTACAACATGTTAGTTGGCTCTGAGGCGACGAAGGCGGGATGCTACAAGTATCTGTATGCGTTGCAGGGAAAGCGGAACACGTTTTGGAGCGGTGCAATGTGGAGGGCGCATGATAGCTCGGGTAGCTGGGCGTTTACGAACAACAGCGTTTTGCCGGCGCTTGTAGCGAGTTTGTAGAAGTTGATCAACGTAATTTCTCCCCCAATTGCGGAAAAGCTCGAAAGCAGCAGCTTTCAATCCTCCATCTGGATGTCTAAGCCCGGAGGCCTTCAAAGAAATTATGGTTGTAGTATAAGGTCAATGGACCTACCTGTAGTCTTTTAGCTACTTGCAATCAATCAACAGACGGCATGCATGACTTGACTACCTCACATTGATTTGGGACTGAGTGCTTGTATCCGGCTTTTCTTAATTCCGGACCTCTCACTTATAGCCTTGTCTGCGTTGGTGAATGTTCGTGGAGATCAACAAATATTCATCGGAGTAGTGTGATGCATTGCACGAGCAAACTGTCGTCGTCGTCGTCGTCCTTCGTTGTCGTTGTTGTTAGTCAGTGCTTGTTCCAACCATCGCGTTCCCGGAAGGTGCTCGAGTGCGCAAATTGCCTCGGCTGCACCTGGCCATCGAGAACCAGGATCAACCACTCTCGCCGGACGAATCAACCTCTTCCATCTTCACTTTCATCTCCACTCCTCATGCGAACTAGAGCATGGAAGGCAGCGAGCGGCAGGCACACCCACAGCGTTATCGTGCACTAGCACCCAGATTGGCAGGAGCTTGAGGTTATCCAAGCTTCGTCAAGACCCACAGATGCATCTTGAACGAGGCTTGTCTTTGCTTGGATCCGCACAGATATTGGCAACGTGCATCACGAGGATGCAAGGCTAACTGGAGAAGGCAGTTGAGAGACAATATGCAGGTATGAAATGCCGTGGTTTGGAGTACTTAAACGTAGGAGGGTGCCATGTCTGAGAACCAGTGCTTTCGCTCAAGTCAATCGCACCAGCAGTAGACATGGCGCCAGTCCTCAGCTTCCTTATCGGCTCTTTGTTGGCTGCCAGAGGTCTCGCAGAGCCCTTCGAGAAGTTGTTCGCTGTTCCCGAGGGTATGTAGTCTTCGGGTCCCTACTTTGATTGCACGAAATGACAAGGTCTCCAGGATGGAAGCCCACAGGTCCTGCAGCGGACTCGCAGGTCCTCAAGCTGCAGATCGCTCTCCAACAGGGAGACTCTGAGGCCTTTGAGCAGCATGTCATGGATGTGTCGACACCCAGTAACAAGAAGTACGGACAGCACTTCCAGTCGCACGAGGAGATGAAGAGGATGCTGCTCCCTACTGAGGAGGCTTCGTCGTCCGTCGCTGCCTGGCTTAAGACTGCCGGTGTCGAGGACTTCGAGCAGGATGCCGACTGGGTAACCTTCAAGACTACCGTTGGCGTTGCCAACAAGATGCTGGATACCCAGTTTTCTTGGTACACCTCTGAGGAGGCAAAGCCGCGCAAGGTCCTGCGCGCTCTTGAGTACTCCGTACCTGAGGATGTCGCTTCGTACGTCAGCCTCGTTCAGCCAACCACTCGCTTCGCCGCCATCCGTGCGAACCACGAGACTGAGAAGGAGATCTTCGGTCTCCAGCGTATTGATGTCGCCGCCAGCGCGAACATCACCGTCAACTGTGATGCTGCCATTACTCCTCAGTGCTTGAAGCAGCTTTACAAGATCGACTACAAGGCCGACCCCAAGAGCGGCAGCAAGGCTGCTTTTGCCTCGTACCTCGAAGAGTACGCTCGCTACAGCGACATGGCTCTCTTCGAGCAGAACATCCTGCCGGAGGCCATTGGTCAGAACTTCTCCGTTATCCAGTACAACGGCGGTCTGAATGACCAGAATTCTTCCGATGACAGTGGCGAAGCCAACTTGGACGCCCAGTACATGCTTGGCCTGGCCCAGCCCCTTCCAGTCACCGAGTTCAGCACTGGTGGCCGCGGCCCCTGGGTTGCAGACCTTGACCAGCCTGATGAGGCTGACAGCGCCAATGAACCCTACCTTGACTTCCTCCAGAACGTACTGAAGATGCCGCAGAAGGACCTTCCTCAGGTTATCTCCACCTCCTACGGCGAGAACGAGCAGAGCGTTCCCAAGTCGTACGCTCTGTCCGTCTGCAACCTCTTCGCTCAGCTCAGCTCTCGTGGTGTCAGTGTCATCTTCTCCAGCGGTGATTCAGGTGTCGGTTCAGCCTGCCAGAGCAACGACGGAAAGAACACCACCATGTTCCAGCCTCAGTACCCAGCCAGTTGCCCCTGGGTGACCTCTGTCGGATCTACCCGCTACCTCAACGAGACTGCTACCTACTTCTCGTCCGGTGGTTTCTCCAACTACTGGAAGCGTCCCTCGTACCAGGACGATGCTATCAAGGCCTACTTCCACACTCTCGGCGAGAAGAACAAGCCTTACTTCAACCGCCACGGCCGTGGCTTTCCCGACGTCTCTGCTCAAGGTTTCGGCTACCGCGTCTATGATAAGGGCGTGCTGAAGGGCTACCAGGGTACTTCTTGCTCTGCGCCTGCGTTCGGTGGTATCGTTGCTCTCCTCAACGATGCGCGCCTCAAGTCCAACAAGCCTTCTCTCGGATTCTTGAACCCTCTCCTGTACTCCAACCCTGATGCTCTCAACGATGTCGTCCTTGGTGGAAGCAAGGGCTGTGATGGCCACGCCAGGTTTAACGGCGCGCCAAACGGAAGCCCGGTCATCCCGTATGCCAGCTGGAATGCGACTGCGGGATGGGACCCTGTCTCTGGTCTGGGTACACCGAACTTCCCCAAGCTGCTGAAGGCTGCTGTTCCTAGCCGTTACAGGGCTTAGACGTAGACATAGATGTCTGGTGGAGATGCTTGCAAATAGTTGAACGATAATGAACAAACATTACGAACAAAACCAAAGCCCAATTCTCAAGACAATGACAAGGATACTCGAAATCTCGAACGTTAGAGATGCTCATCAGTGAAGAGCATGCTGAAGGAACGTGGTTGCCCTGTATTCAATCAATCAATTAATCAACGTGGGTTGCCCTGTGATGTCAGACGAGCTAAATTTGGGCAGTCGCGCGCTCAGCAACCGCGGCGCGTCTTCAACACCAACAACCAAACACACAATCATGGCATTCACAGCACTCAACAACCAGCCTCCAGTACAGCCGCCACCGGTGCAGGCGCCGGTGCCGAAACCTGCTCCAGCGCCCGTAGTGCCCATTCCACATCCACATGAGGTTTACGCTGCGTTTGCTAGCAATCATGAGTTGCGAAAGCGTGTGCACGCCGCCATAGATCAGAACCCGTCGCAGAGCACGCTCTTTCGCGACATCTCGGTGTACATCCTCGGTCAAAGCTCACAACCGCCCGCCGAACCTACAACAAAGAAGCGCAAGTTGGGAGAGAGTAATGGTGCGCAGAATGGCACAGCGGCGCCGTCTGTACCCACATCCGGCGCAGGCGATACCCTTACGAGCACCTCGACAAAAGCCTTCAAGTCATACACTGGCGTCAGCTTCTCGATCCCTCAGCGAAAGAAGTTCACACTCGAGCTCGTCGATAATAAGGATGGCGGGATAAGGGCGATTGGCGCGACGGGCAATGTCGAGTTTGCGCTGGCTTGGAAGGACGTGGACCAGGTCTTCTGTCTCCCGGTGCCAGAGAAAGCCAAGAAGCAGCACAATTTCATCGTCATACCAGTGCATGGCGACGGCGTGAATCCAGTACCGGAAGAGTTGAAACCATCAGCGCCCGAGCCGATCTTATGGACGTTCGAGGAGGCGACAGGCAAGAACGTTGTTGAGGGCGAGGACCCAGGGCCAGGGCCTATGGCGGGGGCGATACACCATTGCCTGATACAGGCAGGCACTGGGAAAGAGGTCATTTTCCCGGACGCAGACGAGTTTGCTAGTGCGATTCCTGAAAGCCACCGCAAGGGCGAGAAGGCATACCACGTCAAGGCACACAGAGGAAGCAAAGAAGGTATGCGCTGATTTTTGCACTCGCCTCATCGATTTCTGTACTGACCCTATGGTTCAGGCTATCTGTTCTTCACCGCCGTCGGCATTCTCTACGGCTTCAAGAAGCCTCTGGCCTTCTTTGATTTTGCCGCTGTAAATAGCATATCCTACACCGCCGTTCTGCGCAACACGTTCAACCTCGTCATCACCACGCAAACACAAGAGATCGAGTTCAGCATGCTGGATCAAGAGAACTTTGCGGGCATAAACGAGTACGTGCAGAAGCATGGGCTGCAAGATGCTAGTATGGCAGCAGAGAGACGCGCAAAGAAGCTCAACGTCAACCCGCCCGCTGACAAGGGCAAAGAGAACGGAGCGGCGGCAGCAGGTGCACAGGGCGAGGAGGAAGAAGAAGAATCAGAACTGCAGAAAGCAGAGCGAGAACTGCAAGATCAAGAAGATGACGAAGAAGAGGATGATGACTTCGACCCTGGTAGCGAAGGGGAGAGCGAGGGTGAGGGGTCAGACTCGGAAGACGAAGAGGGTGGAGGTGGATACGATGAGGGTGACACTGCGGAAGTCGAAGGTGAGGACGAAGAGATGGAGGATTGAGAGACAAGTTGACCTGTGTTTTGTACAAAGGAACTTCCTCACTGGTCTCACGGCTGCAGAACGTGTAGAACCTCATGATACCCCATATCGTTAGCGTACATGCCGCAATCGCAAGCATGAAATGCTACGATGATTCGCAGGGTCTTTGCCTGAATATGATGCTGAGCCACCACGAAAGGAAACCACGACCCAGACCACATGGCAACCTAGTCTCCAGCGACCGACACACTGGCTCCATCAACACCAACACACCGCGATCTACCCTACGATATCTCATCTGTTACTTACTTGCGTTGACACCTAGTTATTCCTACCTCGTACACATCACGCCCGACGCAACATCCAGACAGCCGCAACCCGTTACCACCGCAACCCACGGTGAATGGCAGGGCACATCTTCCTCATCTCCTGCTTGCTAGCAATCTGCCTCCCCATCATCTTCGTACAGCTGCCCCGCTTCGAGACCGTCAAAGAACTGCGCGCTGAGAACGAGGCAGAAACACGATCCACGGTACTGCGACGACGACGACGACTATCACCATCGAGATCGCGGAAGATACTACGACGGATCACACGACCATGGTCCGAGACCGATATCGATATCACAAGTGCGGAGTCGGAGCAGGAGCAAGTCGCTCCTGAACAGATCTCGCAAACGGGCGCTCGAGGACGATGGCATACGGGTATTTCCAGGCCCATCTTCCAAGGGGACGCGTGTGCGGATAGTAGAGCCTCGCCGAAAGAGGAAGAACTGAGGAAAGCAAGAGCTGGCAAGAAGCCCTGGGATCCACCGTTCAGGAGACAGCTTCCGAGGACTGAGCTCGTTAGGAAGAGTCCTGGAGGACGGTGGCATGCTGTTACGGACGCCTCACCACCTCGCAAGACTGGTCGAGAAATGGAGGCGCGAGGTGTTGCAATGAGACTGTTCCCGCCAGACCCTGTTCCTGAGATGGACGATGTGGACGAATATGATCGATGCTCGTTGGCATCTTCGGGACCGCTGCAAACACCACAGGAACCGTTGCACCGACGACTTCCATCTAGGAACCATCTACAATCACACGACGAACGCGGCGCGCCATCTCGAGAGCATCAGTCCGAGCCTCCAGTGGCTCAAATCGTTCCGCCGCCGCGTACGGGCCCTGAGTCCTTGCCGTCGCCGCTCGACGGATCTCCGCTGCCTTCTATGTGTCACGTGCCGCGAAGCGCTCCGTCTACCAGGACCAGAGAGCCTGTTAGCTGTTCCTGCAGACATTGTAGACATCCTCACTCTGAGGCTTCAGTTCCACAGTCACCCAGTGTTACAACAGCCGCGCCTGAGGCAGGCCCTGAGGAAATTTCCAAACAGGCCTCGAAAGGCCCTGATTGTCCCTGTAAACATGAGGACACTGACCCTTCAGCTCTGCAGTCGAAGAACCCTCCATCAGCTGCGCCAAAGAAGGATCTCAAGAATGCGTCCGAAAAAACTGCCAAAGACGCCCCCAAGGAGGCTCCCAAAGAAGGTCCCAAAGCCCCCAGCAAAGCTCCCAAATCCGGGATGCCGCTTTGGCAGATCCTGCTGGTTATTATGGGATTCATCATCTTTGTCTTCGCTTTTGCCATACTGGTTGCGCACTGTCTGGCTTGGTTCCTTGTATACAAGACGGAAGCGCGGTTGGGAGAAGTGCGTAGCGGTCTGTTAAGGGGCGGGGAGATGAAGATGTGTCTCTGCGGCAGAGGTTAAGAGCATCAACACGTTTTCCTACATACTTCACCTTGCAATCGTGAACATGGATGCCCCTTGCATGTTGCAGCTATTGTGGCACATTTGGCCGTCAAGTGCGGTCCGCATCGTCAATGTTCCGAATCCCAAATGCCGGTACTGGGTGACGCGCTGCTCCAGCCTTGTATGCAAGTCATTCACTGTATACACGAGGTTGGTGATGATTGAGAGTCGCCAACCGCGACCAAAAGACGGCTATACGGCCTGGGCGATGCTTGAACAGCTTGACCAGTCAGATATGCACGATAGGGAGCATGGAAATACTCTGAGTGTTGATGCATAAGTGCTTCTTTGAGCTCGTGAGGAGGACGATGATGATGACGATGCCCTGCTCTTCTTTCTGGCAATTCTCCAAGACCAGGACAAGAACACGCAGGCAGGTTTTCGAAAGCATCTCGGAACAACGTTAAGGCAACTGCACACTCTATCATTTCATAGCTATCGAAGTCTGGGTCGTGAAGTTGAAAACGCGTACACATCTCCACCAGCCCACGGCCGGGTGAGGTCATCATCTTGATGGGTTCCGCGGCTGATGCGCGCTAGGAATGGGCCCCACTTGCCCTTTTCGCCCTTCCCCTGCACCGGTCTGCTGCATCTTCGACGGCACGGCACATCCTCACCATCAGAAAAGCATCTAATCACCGTCATGCGCATCAGTGATCATCCAACAATTGCACGTCACGTCGCCGAATGCCCCTGCGTGCTTCTCGCTACCAACGGCTAAAGGCTGCAACGTTCGGGAAGAACGGGCTCGTGGTCGAATGGAAAGGCTGCACCATGGAAGTCTGAGAGCTTCCAGATTCGGGGGGCTGGGGATTTGACATGGAGTGTATGAGGGACGTTCACGGTGTCGCCAATCGCTAGTGCCCGTCGATGGATGCGTCGAGCGCCACTGGCGTCCGGGCGCCCTTGTCTGGGACAGACGTCACTTGTCGCATTTGGCCCTTAGGAGCACCGTATTGCTGTTCAGCCTAACGTCGAGCTAACAAATGCATCAACCTCCTCTTTCCTCAGCTGAAGAAAGTCACGCAGACTTGCAATCCTGCATTCACCTTTCGACTTCCGTTACACATCATAGGAGCTAGGCCCCATGGCTCTCAAGAACTTACTACCGCTTCACACGAAGGATGAGGAAGATCAGGACGCACATCATCACCATGAAAAACGCAAGCGAGCCAACGGACATATCAACCAGAAAGAGTCTTCCAAGAAGAGGAAACAGCAGAGGGGATTCACTAGCAAGTGGCGGAATGAACTCGTCGCTATGACAGCTGAATTCTCTGGTACCTTCTTGTTCCTCTTCTTCGCTTTCGGTGGCACCCAAGTCGCCAATACAGCAGCCATATACAGTGATGCAGCAACAGCAGGCCAGCAAGGCAACAGTATCACACAGACACCGAACACGAGTGTGCTTCTGTACATCAGCTTGATTTTCGGGTTCAGTCTGATGGTCAATGTCTGGGTGTTCTTCCGCGTTAGTGGTGGATTGTTCAACCCTGCTGTAAGTTGCAACCAGTGTGATCGTAGTATACACACAGCATGCTAATCACGACTCTAGGTCACGCTCGGCCTCTACCTCATAGGTGCTCTCACAACCATCCGCGCCATCCTCTGCTTCATCGCGCAGATGCTTGCAGGCATGTGCGCCGCAGCCGTTGTCTCCGCTATGTTCCCTGGCGACTTGAACGTCTCGACTACCCTTGGTTCCGGCGTATCCATCGCACAGGGGGTCTTTATGGAAATGTTCCTCACCTCCTTACTCATCATTACCATCTTCATGCTTGCTGCCGAGAAGCACAAGGCTACATTCCTTGCACCTATCGGTATTGGTCTGGCACTGTTTGTTGCCGAGCTGGTTGGTGTCTTTTACACCGGTGGTAGCTTGAACCCTACTAGGAGCTTTGGACCATGTGTCGTTACGCGCAACTTCCCAGGCTACCACTATATTTACTGGATCGGCCCGCTCATGGGCACTCTGTTGGCGTTTGTTGTCTACAAGATCATCAAAATAGTCGAGTACCAGACTGTCAACCCTGGACAGGACTTCGATGACCACGAGGTACGTCTCACGCCTTGCATCTGATTTTGAGGACCTTGCTAATTCGACCAGGATGCTCTTTTCAAGCCTCCTTCCAACCCCGAGACAGCCGAAGAAGTCGAACGCCCCAACGTCGCCGCCATCGCCGCACAAGAAGCCGTCCGCGTTGCCAGCAACTCATCGAAAGAGGATAAGGAGGGTAAGGAGGGCTCATTTGGCGGTATCGACAGGACACTGTCGTCATCGTACCACCACTCATCGAACTCGCGAGACGGCCAGCGAAGCTCAGGTGACGAGTACCGTCGCTCTCAACAGCATCACAGACAACACCAGCATGATTTCGAGTACCTGCCTGGACAGACGAATACTCAGACACAGTACCCACACAATGACTACAGGTCTTCGCAGGAGCACCGGAGGACGTCGCGAGACCATATGGCTTCGGATGCGGAACTGTTGGCGAGGACTGGACATGCTCATTCCGTGAGCAGCCCGCGGAATACCAATAGACAGCAGCCGTGGGTATAGAGAACCTTGCGCGGTTTTGGATTACAGGACATACATAATATGGCGTTAATGGCGGGCGGCAATCTGCATGAACAGCGTCGCACTGCGGCAACCAGCTTGAGCGGATCTCGGCATTCTCATCTACAGCCATGTAGGCTTCATTCGATATATCTTTATCTACATCTCACTACTACCAACCATATTGATCACCTTTGTACCATACCTGACCGCGCGGTAGGGGTAATGACAGTGAAACGTCACGGTCCAGGGTCACTCACGTATCCTTCATTCCCGAGACTTTCGACTATGTATCAGACGACTGCGTTGACTAGTACCACAGACGACTCCCATATCGACCTCCCCGTCTCTGTCACAACACCTCAATTGACAACACGTCGCACCCCACCAACGACAATGACGCAGAGCAGCAGCGCCTGCACGGGTTGTTCAGCCGCTGGGTACCAAACTTCGAATATTTCTTCCAGACGTACGACACTCTGGGCTTAAGCAGCGAAGACATCGCTACCATCCAAAAGGAGATTACCGAGTATCGCATCAATACTGCGATCGCCAAGGGCAAGCGTACGACATACACTGCGCCATGGGAGACAGCCGAGCTGATGCAGGCGACCATCAAGACAAAGATCGAGGCTACGAAGACACGAAACAAGGTTAACCAGACACAAAACGAGCTTATTACAACACAAAATAAGCATGCCAAGATACAAAAGGAGCTCATCAAGAAGCATGCAGAGGCTTTCAAAAAGGCATTGGAGAATTATAATGGACCAACACAAGGCTCTAGAACAGTGCAAAGAACCAATTGAGGCTCACAAGAAATTGGTCGAAGACAAAGAACGAGATCGTGCAGAAGAACGAAGAGCACATCGAGAAGCGGGAGGTGTTCATCAAGAAGCAGCAAGAGTGCATCGCGTTACTGAAAGAGGCTGTCGACGCCCAGCTGAAGATGATCAAGATCATGAAGAAGCCTTTCGAGGAGTACGCACCGCGCTTCTGGACCTTCACCCAGAGGGCCCAACAGTATCTGTTGCTATGTGCTGTTGCGTTGTTTGCTTTCTGGCTCGGCATATGGATCGGCGTGCAACATGCACAAGCTTGATCAGATATGCGAGTGTATAGGACGGAAAGATTGAGGAGATGAAGGCATCGAGGGTGAGAGCTTTGTGAAGGTTTCAATGAGATGCAGATGTTACATTTTGTAATCCATTGTTGGTAACTTCTTTCTGGAGCGATGAGCGGTCTTTCTATAGTCGCGTAGTGCGTACCACAACGAATCAAATACCTCGCAATTTCATCACAGATATTGTTCGAAATTTATGGAAATGCACATCAACATTGAAAGCTGACGAGCGTCATGCAGTCATAGATCCGTCCTTAAAAGATATATACAAGAAGCTAAAACCAACAGATATAGAAAGATTGCGGCTGCAACACGTTTTCATGGGCCCAGCCCGCATTTCCTCTTCTTTCCTCTCCTTCCCTATACTCTCTACCGCCTAGTAAGCAGCACCAGTAGCAGTAGGCCTGACACGGGTCTCAAGAGTGCAAGGGGTGCTTGAAGCCTTACCCAGATCAAAGTCGTACTTCTCGGGCTGAGTGCCAGCAGAAGGGCTAGGACCGAAGCTACCAGTGGGCCTGGCGCCGCCGCGGCCGGGCCACGCTCCCCAGCCAGAGGGGTGAGGACGGCCCCAGCCGAAGCCAGGACGGCCGCCTTGGGGCCAGTTGCCGGTGGGGAAGGGACGACCAGATCCACGCGAGGGAATGCCGGTGCCGGTGGGGTAGGGGACCTCGGTGGGGAGAGGGGTAAAGGTAGGGACTTCGGCTTCCGCACCTGTGGCTGTGGCCTCGGGCTCCTCGGAGCAAGGAGTCTCTTCAGCGTCGGAGGGGACTTCGGAGGCATCAGGGGTCTTGACGGGAGCCTCAGGAGCCTCAGGAGCCTCGGTGGGGACGATCTTAGATGAGCAAGGAGTGCTGGAAGATTCGGGGCCGATGGTAGGGTTGGGGATGTTGGTGCTCTCAGTGAAGGCAGGTGCATCGGTGGGGTTGAAGGACTCGGAAGCCGGGAGGGTGACGGTAGCGGAAGGAGCAGGCTGGTCCTCGCCGGTGCTGACGGCAGGAACCTGGGAGCTGATCTCGGTAGGGATAGAAGCAGAGTACTCCTCAGAGTAGATTATGGAAGGAAGGGCAGTCGCCGCAACGGTGGTGGAGGGAGGAGTGATGGTGGCGCCGGAAGTGACGATTTCGAAGGTGGGGAGGGAGGAATCAGCTGGGACCTCAGGGGCGGCGGTGGAAGCAGATGCGGCAGAGGTCTCGATCTCGATGGGAGCACCGGTGCTCTCAGCGTTCTCAGCGACGGAGGAAGGCTTCTGAGCAGCAGCGGAGGAGGACTTGACAGCGGCGGCAGAGGTGGCAGCAGGAGCAGACGAAGCGGGGGCAGTAGAAGCAGAAGCAGACGGGGTGGAAGAACCGGCGCCGTTGCTCATACAAGCGAAGGAGATTTCCTTAACGCTCGCAGCGTTCTGGACGGGGCCATCGAGCGTCCACTCCATGTCGACGTAAGGCCAGCAGATACGGCCGTCAGCCATGGTGACCATGTCACCGGCAACGTAGACATCGGTAGCCTTGACGGGCTCACCAACCTTCTTGCCATCGGTGACAAGTTGGAAGTAAGAACCAGTGTAAGCACCCTTGCAGCCCATAGCGATGAAGTCGCAGGTGGGCTCGGCGATTTCCTCCCAGGTAACGAGAGCGCTGGTCTTGTCGAAGGTAGCAACGTGAGCGTTCGAGCAGTCAGCGGAGCCAGTAGTGATCCAGTTGATCTGAGAGTCACCATCGGCAACGAGCTCAGAGGTGGCCTGCTCGCCAACGAGAGTCTTCTTGTCGCTCATGGTAGCAATGGCGACGTTGCGGTTGACTGTGCGGTTGACAGAGTGAGTGTACCCGTCGCCCATCCAATCGTTGATGGTCAGATCCTTAGCACCACGGGAAACCCAGGAGAAGATGTATGAGTCGCTGTCCTGGAAGCGAGCAAGGCCACTGTAGGAGCCGGACATTCCACCCATGGCCTCGTTACCGGCTCCGTTAGTAACGTTCTCGTTGGAGATCTTGACACCGCTCTTGTCCATACCGGTAGCACCAGTGTTGAGCCAGATGGCACCCTGATCTTCAGAGCAGATAGAGGCAAAAGGAGTAGAGTCGGAAGCTTCGAAAGCGATACCGGTGTTGTGGGAGCAGCCCCAGGTGGAGCTGGCACCCTGAATCTGCTCGATTGTTCCGTTGTCGTTGACGTACTGGATTGCATCACCGAAGTGACCCTCAGCGGAGCCAGAGTAGGCGGTAACGACGAAGTAGGCACCGTACATGCCACTGGCCTCGGAGTAGGCAAGGTCACCGTTCATGTCAGGGGAAGCCAACATGCCCATGTCTCCAGCGTTGTCTGGGCCACCAAGCCATGTCTTGAAGGTCTCCTTGCCAGAGGTGTAGCGGTAAAGGACAGCAACAGGAGTGCTATCCGGCGGCGCGTTGGAAGTACCAGATGGCATAGCCTCGTTGGTCAAGAGAGCGAAACCATCGTTGTGGGCAACAAGACCACCAGCCTCCTTACCACTAGTGACTGTGACGGCATCACCGACGGCGGCGAAGGTCGAAGGGTTCACCTGCTGAACGTGGACACCAGTCTCGCTGGCGTCGAGGTAGGCAAGGTATGCCGACTTGCCATCAGGGGAGACAGCGAAAGGAGTACGGCGGTGGTGGGGGTATCCGGTCCAGTAAGATTCCTTCACAGGTCCGAAAGACGAGGAGAGTGTGAGACTACCAACGTGCTTCTCGAGGTTGGTACTAGAAAGTGCACCCGAGGCGACGCCCGCGAGGAGGGAAAGAACGAATGTGGAATGCATGTTTGCAGTAAAAGAATGACAGTAACGAACGACCAGCGAACAGAAGTCGAAAAAAGAGTGACAAGTACGAATCTTCCAAAGATCGTGAAGCGGTAAAAATTACCCCGAGCGTGGAGTAGATCAGAGTATATATCCTCTGCTGCCATGAAACATCGCATTTACGCCAGGACTGAGGCCCATGACTGGCGAGCGAGAGACAGGTGCCAATTCGGAAACACGTTGATGCATTTATTTTCCGACCCACAGTACGAGTACGACGAGCAACGCTGAATGGTGGAAGTGTCGGAAAGTTGGCCTGGGGCAGTCAAGCGGTATTAGGGATGTTTTCATACCCCTGGTATGTTTCGAACAGAGGGCGCTAGTGGGGAATCAGCCAAGCACGGGCGCTTCTAGGCACCAATCGACTCACCATCCTCATGATATGCACGGTGTGCTCATACGAGAACCAAATCTTTTTCCTTTGTGTGCCGCAAACTCTCTGTTTCTGCTGCGAACGTGCCAAGCCGTTCCCATGCCCCAGGTTTTTGCTCCGAGAGGCCCAACACAATCCCTGAGATGAAGTCATCGTATCGTGCCACTTCCAAGCAGAGTACAGGTGCTTCGAATTCGGACAAGGTCTGGTTTTGCTTTGCTCGTCGGACCGTCCATTGCTCTTCATTGGCATCGGATATGACCCCGGCCTTGACGAGACAACAGTCGTGTGCGATCTGGATCGCACTTGTGCCTTTGATAGTGAGGGTGTATTCCCAAGCACCACGAATATATCTGCCCGAGAGGGTTGCCGTAGCTGTAGGCCCACGCAGGGTAACGGACGCGTCGGATACTGTGCCTAAGGCATTGAGACCTGTGGGGATGACAGTTGATGAGACAAGGGTTATGCTAGACCGGCATGTCTCCCGCTCGTCATCGTCCGGCGTGTAATAAGTGACAGGTGCATCGAGTGAACTCCAAGAGAAAGACGGTGCGCGCCATGTTTCAAGAGCGTGAAAATCGCCATCAGATGGCGTAGGTACGGTCCTTTGCCACAACAAATCGAAAGCCAGATTGCTTTTCCAGAGACCAGCAAGATAGTCGGAATGTGTTGCCTTTCTGATCTTACTTGCGATCCCAGATATAGCTGGAAGCTTATCTCCTGGCATAGTGAGTGCTCGTGTCGAATATTGCTCTACTATGCGGTGCCATGCAGCCCAGACGGCGTCGGCCTGTTTACTCGCGACAGCTCTAGGAATGAGTGCTGGGGTTGTTGCCCGCGTCTTGCGTTCCGGCATACACTCGCAACGGTAAGAGGTTCTGCACTCGAACATCAACTCGGTAGATGTGTAATGCAACACTCTTGTGCTTAGCGCATGCTCCTGGAGAGCCCATGCGCGTAAAGTCAAAGGGCCTGTTGGCGTTGCCGGTTTGCCATTCGCATCCGGATGGTGATTTGAGTACACCCTTGCTCTCAGAGCAAACTCCTTCTTCGTAGTGTTTTCGTATGGAATCTTGATTGGTTTCTGTCTGTCTGACAGGCACTTCGCGCTACCATTGCTCGCGCTGGTCGCCGATATCGTAACGTAACTGTTCTGGTAGATGCTGGCCATCTTCGCAGCCTCTGTTTCCCAGTCTCTTATAGAGTCTTGAATGATGCACAACGAATCGATCCAGAGATATCGTAGACCAAGTTGTCGCGTGATGATAATCGCATCCTGAAAGAGGGGTGGAAGGTCACCGAACGGTATGTTGACAGTGAGCTTGGCCCAAGAAGACTTCGTGGCCGTCAAAGGAGTTGCTGAACCCCAGCAATGTGAGAGAGCAATATATTGAAACGCTTTTCCTTGCGTCTCCAGTATACGAATCGGCTTTGTCGACCGTCCTACGTCTATGAGACGCTTCGGAGCCGACACGGATGGTTCACAAGTGACTTTGCAAGCTGTGTGCTTCGGATTGGCGAGGCAGCCTTGTATGCAACGACGGATGAAGTTGAAAGATTCGTCAGAGCCGGCATTGACTGGAATGTGATGTGCTGCTCCGAGCGTAGGCCACGGAGTTCGCGAAGCTAGAGAGCGTCAGAGGTTTCAAAGTATTGACACTATTTCTGCGTGTCCTCTGATTGATTCACGCTCATTTCTATGTTCCAAAGACAAAGATAGCGTCCTGATGATGTAGGGGAAGTAAACTGATGAATGCGTGTTGCCTACCTGACCCCGCATATATCTCAACCATTTGGCCCGCCCATTGGCCTCCATCGAGGCTTAACTTGATCGTGCCCTTCTCTTTAATGTTTACATTGACTCTACATCGACTTCCTCGCCATTCGCTGAAGAATGCGTCGAGCGCTTGGACAAGGACCACACAAAACCGGCATGTGCCATTTGTTGTGGGTTTGACATTGGATAAGGCTAGTGCATCAAGGACCAGGTTCAAACTTGCCTTGGGTTCTTTGAGAGCTTCAGCATCTTGGATGGAGTTTGTATGACCCCGAGGATCGAGGTTGTTGCACGTGCGACATCTCCTTCGTCGTGACGTCCCCGCAGCTGACGCTGATGAAGTGCGACGTACGGGACGGCGGAGGGACTTAGGCAGAGGCATTGACCAGGTTGAGTCGCCCCTCAGACAGCAAGGCAGAAGCGACAGGACATTTCAGCCTATTCGAGATGATCGCAGTAGTGGTTTGAGGATGGGCAAGTGGTGTTGTGCAGCTACCCGAATCAGTGGTTTCCTCTACTGCGTGCGCCAAGGTCTAAAATTAGCGGCTGAAACGAGTGGCGCTTTTGTAGATGGGGGCTAAGCCTTCCCAACTACTAACTCGTCCCTGGGTCTTCAACCTATAGTCTAATGTCGATCACGAAGCTTGACGCTGGAAAGTCCAACTCTAATTTACTCCGCCATCTGCATTGTAGAGACGCGAAATATCAAATAACCAAAAGCTCTCATTGTGCACTCCAGCTCTTCTTCCATTCACCGGTCAAGAGCTTTGCATGAAACAAGAACACAGGACAGCCTTCCGTCTCGCTGCTTGACTGGCGTCTATCTTCCCCGCAGACACTTTCAGCTCCTAAATTTGACTTTTTATGGCGGCCACCAATGCAGGAACGCACATTGAAAGTTCATGCCGCTCCTCAGCTACTGTGCGATCATAGGCCAGAAGCTTTCAGGTACTACCCGAGAGACACGACTACTTCGCCACAAAGTAAGGAATGCGAAGTACGAAGGTAGCTGTGGAGCCGCAATCTCGCTTACTGTTGTCCTATGCCTCGACGAGCGACAGCAGCAGCGGGAACGTGGTCGAGCGACTGCCAGTGTGACAAACCTTCTACAGACTTTGCACTCGCATTGGTCACATTGTTCCGGGGCTGTGGACGCCTCATGGAAAGATATCGGTCAGAACTTGCTCCTGCAAACGAATAGACTGAAGGCTGAGTGGCCGGACACGAAAGACAAGTAAAGTGCCATTGTGAGTATCTATATCACCGTCTGTCGCTCCTTCGAAATCACGACATCTCAAATCCATATCCATCTCTGTCTAGTTCGAGTAACGGGTCAAGCTACTACACATTCCAACAACGCACACTTGATCGCTTCGTTGTCACCATGCGTACTTCATTTGCTGCCACCAGCCTTCTGGCTGCCTCCACTATGGCAAACCAGCTCCTCGCCTTCACCAACGCCAACAGCTTCGGCGCAATGTTGAAGCGCGGAGACACCATCCTTAAGCGTCAAGGCTATTCTCCAGACACAAGCTATTGCGGCAGAGGTGATACATGCGCAGAAGCGTGTGGAGCCAACAGTGTTCAGTGTCCTTCGACCGACACCTCTATGCTCTACTGTCACGACTCGAACGACGGTTCAGTACGTACTATGTTTGGTAGCATGATGAACGATCGTCGGCTAACTTCTACAGAAATGTTGCCCTGATGGCTCCGGCAACTCTTGTGAGGCTGGATACTACTGCACTTCCGACAGTGCAGGTGACACTTACTGCTGCCCTGACGGCATCGGTATGTTGCACTGATTCGAGCAACTACCCTGACGCAGGACTGATCCCAAACAGATACCGCCAACTGTGCACTTCAATATTCGCTTTCTGTCTCCCTTATCCGACAGACTGCTGTCATTACTCCTTCCGCCACTCCTCTCGAGAGCACTCTTCCCGCCGAGACTCCAGTATCTACGTCTTTGCTTCATGCCTCCAGCGTTGCCTCGGTCTCAGCCCCTACCTCTGCAGCTATACCTACGACTAGGTCAAATACAACGTTTACAGCACCAGCACCATCTCAGTTCACTGGAGGTGCCGTGAAAGTTATGGGCGCTGGTGCAGCCGTCTTGGCTGGTGCCGTGGGCTTCGCTGGGCTGTTTTGAGTTCTCGCAAAAAGCGTTACATGGTATGAGCGTTATACCAGAGATGGATGTTGAGGATGCACGATATGGACATATGTAAAAGAAATCAAAATGATTCCCTTCAAACTTCACCTATGCACATGCTTGATAGCGACACCACTAAAGTCTAATTGAAAATCGTCATTTCAACAAGCCATTTTCCCAAAAATAGACAGAAGGCGTCATTAAACTACACTAAAATATCTACGGTATCTCTGCATCTCATGACACACAGTTTTAGTTGGGGACTTTCCTGAAAACATGCCTCTCCCAACCATCGATGTCATCAACAACGACCTCGCGATGAAGCGTGTAGTTTCCAATCTTGGGCAACACGACTGCCCAGATTAACCAGTAGACACCGCCAGCGGCAATGATGCCGAAGCCAACAACGCAGTGAAGGTAGTATGGCAGAGTCTCGTAGACGCTGTTGCCATCACTGGGAGGGACGAATGGCGCAATTACGAGGTAGACATTGCTGAGGAAGAAGAAGATGGTGACCGGAAGGGTGGCCTTGATCGGGGGGTTCCAGTTGTACTGCTCCTTGTGAAGGTAGAGCCAGGCCAGACCTGCTGCGACGAAGACGTTCACAACGGCAAGCGGGTACGAGATAACGCTAGAAGGAGTGTTGGTAGCTGGAACTTGTATTGTTAACGTGAACAAAACTTACTTGAGAATGAAGTTATACGCGTCACCAGGAGGGGGAGCCAGCATAATGATGACCGAGACGAGCCAGTGCTCGAATAGGCCAGCAAGAGGTGCGTTGAAGGGACGGTTGCTTGCCCATAGCCTGGACCAGGGAAGAATTCCCTCACGACCCAGCTCTTGCACAAGACGACCTTGGGAGAAAATGACACTGAGAACGTTTCCGAAAGCAGACAGAGCAACGAAGACGGAAAGTGCACGCTCAGCCTTGGGTCCGAAAACGTTGCGGAAGAGCGACGCAGCTACGAGACGCTTCGAGGAAATGATCTCGTCGGCGGGAACGGCAGCGAAGTAGGCGATGTTGACGAACATGTACAGAATGGCAACGGATCCAAGAGCCAGAGGGGCAGCGAGCTTGAGGGTGCGAACAGGGTTCTTGGTCTCGCTGAGGGCGTAGTTGGCGTTGCTGTATCCGATATAACTCCAGATAACGTTGTATAGCGCGGTAACAACACCATAAGCGCTACCAGTGGTACCGGCGAAGGCGTTGTCGAAGTTGTTAGGTTTCTCGATCTTGAGAGCACCTCCCAGTGCTGCCCATCCGGAGACAACAATCAACAAAATAATGAGCAGCTTGATGACACCGAGCAAGTTCTGGAGCCTCAGGCCCCACTTCAAAGCCAGTCCGTGGATGAGGAAAGCGGCGGTGATGCAAGCTAGACCAACACCACGCTGGTTCCAGCGGGTGACTTCGACGTTGGCGGCATGGAGAATGTACTCTCCGAAGACGACAGAGTTGGATCCTGCCCATCCCAAAAGGATGACATAACCAGTGTAAAGACCAGTAGCGAGGAACTTAGGCTTGCTGTAGACAAATTCGAGGTAGTTCTTCTCGCCTCCGTTCCTTGGAATGGCTGTGCCAAATTCGAGATAAACGGCCATACCAGCAGCAGCGATCAGCATACCAGCGACCCAGATGAACAGAGACAAGCCAACACTACCGGATAGAGAGAAGATGGCACTCGGAGTCGCAAAAATACCAGTTCCGATCATCCCTGTTACTTGTCAGAAGGCTCTTCCCTCTACCACCTCTTCGAGCTTACTGTTGAAAATCAAAAACACAGCTGATGTAACACCGATCTGGCGCTTTGCCTGGCGAACCTGGTAGAGAGATCCATTATCGATATCCGAAGGAGGAGCATCGGGGTCAGACTTAGGCTGGCCCTCAGCAGGCGCTGCCTTTGCCCCAGAGGTAGCCCCGTACTTGGAGAAGAGCTTTGACATCGTGGACGATGAGGAGATGAGTGGAGTCGACTCCATCTTGCTCGGCGCAAGAAGAATCTTATACGAATTCCAAACGGTTAGGGTCCTTTGCACATGCGATCCAAGAACACTTAGACACCGTGAATCGTATTGGCGAAGGTGTGAAGGTCAGCTTGTCGGTCTGTGCGAATGGCGTGCCGTCAGCCACAGCTACAACAGAGGAAGATTTTACGAAACATTTTTTGCGCGCAGACCTCTTGGAAGGTTGAATTCGTCCATGGCGGCGATGTCGTGCTCGAAGGTAAGAAAAATCTAGCGGGAACCATACCGGAAAGAGCAACTGCAACTCACTAGCGCCAAAACGCGATCGAAGGTGACAAGTGCGTCAGTGAGACTGCACCACAAAGACACCCATCGCGAGCTTGGCGGTGTTACAATAGATGTTCTGGAAAGAATTGCGCATTCCATCGGCTTTGCCAAAGAACAACGTCTTATTCCTGCCGGGGGGGGTTGACAGCCTTCACACCTGTTGTTCAGGTACCACACTTCAAGCTGACTGCGCCGCATGTCAAGAGGACTCGTGGCAGGCCTGTCCGACAATTGTGCCGGCAGTGCGTCAAGCAAAACATCATAATGACCTGAGCAGGAGCTGGAATAATTGATCAGACATCCGTTTGTCTCCTCACACTCTTCTACACAATCGGGACATATTTTGCCTCAGAAATTTTGAAAAGCGCTCGAAAGCTCGCCTTAATCAGCGTGTGTCACGCCATGTGATCACCTGCGGTCATCTCATGACAATTGAAGGGCGTACTGCAGTCTTAAACGAACAATTCGTTGTCTCGTTAGTCAAGAGGGTCCGACTGGAGAGCCAGCAGCTGCCTCGACCTGAAGTGTTCTCTCGCCTGTATCGTTCACAGATCACCAGCCTTCAGTATTTCCTTGGGGATCCCGTGCAGATGTTTCTGATCGCCGAAGAGATTGCGGCTCGTTCGCGGTTCACCACAATATCTGCTGTCTGTACCGGAGACGACAACTCATTGAGGTCTTGTGGAGCTACTCACCGACATCATACAAAAGCAGCTTCGAGTTCTGGCGTAAAGTATGATATTGCCAAGGTGGCGTTGGGCGGCTCAAGAGATTTCATCATCTTCGGTGCAAGCGAGGAGTATCGATCAAGACGTCGCTGGAAGTCGACCTCCCGACTGGATGTTGCGTGCTGCTCCTGTCACTATGCAATCCCCTTTGTCGGAGGAAAAGGATCCACCGATAGCCATCACGTGAGAGACTAGCGTCTATAGGATATATCGAGCTTCTGCTCACCTGCAATACGACATAAAAACCACCAAGTCTTGATACTCTTCTCCTGGAACATTGCCATTGACACGCACTATGTGGGGCAGAAATTTTGGTCCCGACCTCTCGGAGCATGGCAAGAGGCTGGTACTTGCACATTTGCGTGGACTGTGTAGGCCTATATCCACTCCTCCTTGAAGACCCAGAAGTACCCTCCAAACGAATTATGTCCCCAAACCCCAACGATTCCAAACGGCGTGATCCGTCCTGTCCACGTCCACGAGATTCCAAGTCCGAGATACTGTTTAGCGATGCTAACCAGTCCGTCTTCACGCACCCGACCGGAAAGCAAGAAGTCTCCATGAGCGTCATACCCTCTTGTCTCCCGCTCAATGATAGCGCTGATCCTTAATCGCGTTCGTGCTTCTTCGGTCGGTTCGTGAACCACCATCTGTATGTTCTGCATTGGCGGATCGACGTTGACCGTACGGTTTCGAAATGACCGGTGATCGGTATAATAGCCTACCCATCGACCAGATAGGAACTCGGGCATTGTCATACGCCTGTAATGGCATGTGGAGAAAAGCTCTGCCGAGCTGTGGTATACACTCGGTATGTCCATGAACTTGGTAAACGGGATCTTGGCTGGGGTGGGAAGGAGTCGTTTGTCTCGATTATCATATGCAGATGCGATAGCTATCAGCAAAATGGGGAGCGCAGCAGAGGCTTGCGTGAGATTGAAGTCTCTGATGAAGGTGCCGTAACCCGGTATGCGCTCGCTCAATCGCTGAATAACATTCTCTGCCATGTTCTGGATGTAGACGATTGTTGAGTCAGCCTCCAACCAGTTGGGAAAAAAGTGGCGGGCAAACAAGAAAAGGACATCGTTAGACGTGTTGGTAGAGCTCAGTCGCTGGAGCGTGGTGTAGTTGAGTACGAAGCTGAAGTTCGTGAAATGAACCGCCTGGAGCTTCGCAGAAGCTACTCTATCACGCGCTTGGTCCGCGGTCCGTGACAGCCAGCGATTCATCAGCAGAGACGATGTTGAGCTTGTGTTGAATTGGCTGAGCTGGCCATGTGGTAACAGGAACATGTCAGGCTCCAGACACCAGGATGCAGGATGATGTAAAACCAACATATGTGGGAGCCAGTCAGCCATGTTGGATGTCGTGGTCGTCAACCATGCCGCAGGCTTCAGTGTTGATAGTCGTATGAGGTCTTCGACAGCATGAGCCATTCGCACTTTGTCTTCGAAAGAGTACTCTTCCAAAATGGACTCTCCCTCTGGCCATCCGAGCTGCTCCGGCTCAAGTTCTACGCGCCCCGGTTGCTTGTACAGATGAAACACGCTATCGATCGCACCTGGTGCTCTATGGAAAGCATTTTGCGCGATATCATTGAACAGAAGTGGATCATAGCAGGCATCGTATAACTGATGATTGACGCGGACCAATTGGAGGAGGCTGGAGCAAGGCAGAAAGCGTGCGATGTGCTGGAGAAGCTCGTGAGGAAGCGTGAGGAGAGACATGACATCAGTTGTGAGGATGCAAGGAATCAGTAAAAGAGTACTGATGGATGTCTTGGAAAAAGCACTCACTGTGCTTCCATCTCAGCATGTTAGCGTTTCGCTTGCCGGTGACCCCGCAGGTGCCTAATTGAAGTGGCAATAACCTACACAGTACATCAGAATTACACCTGCAAAAGTAATGAATGCATTCAATGAAAGCAAGTAGAAGAATTAAAAAAAAGCCACCTGTCTGCTCAGCCATTGTTCCTGCACAACCTACCCAAGTCGCTCTACTGCCATACCTACCGATCCACAACGCTTCAAACAGTAGACAGAAACAGCAAAAGAAGCACGCAAGAGCCAAAGAAATTGAATGTAAGAAGAGAACGGCAAAAAGATGGACAACAGCTTCGGCACCAGTGTTTTGTTGCATAGAAATGCAAAAATATGGACTCGCGGGGAATCGAACCCCGGACCACTCCCAGTCTGGATTTCGAAGGCTTCAAAGAAGCTGCGAGATGCTAAGGGAGTATTATACCACTAAACCACGAGCCCGTGGATGAGATTTCACTCCTTTGATGAGATGTTTTCAAAATTTATAATATATATTGTAAAGATAATAGAGTGTGCGAACAACTTATCTTCAAAGCCCTCTATATCTTGGCAAGCTTCTACCACCATACTCCATACGCCGATTCGCCTCACTCGGTACGAATACCACATAAGGATTTCAGCATGCAGAAAGCAAAGCAAATGTTATAGAGCAAAGTCGTTTCGTTATTCGGCTGGGTTACGGTATATTAGGTAGGGAAGAAGGGCACCTATCTTTAATGCCATTTTTCACACAAAGAACTAGTCAAATTTTTTGATTTTTTTTTTCGCAAAGGCATTATTTAAAAGAGCTCAAACTCCTCTACAGCTTTGCTATATAAACCTACAGATTCAGGGCGCTAGCTGTGGCGAGGGATAGCGTTGAAAATGGCGAAACTTATGGTGTTCGTGGGCTTGTCCTCACCACCAAAGCTTAGTGATGACCCGGCCAAACAATAATAGAAAAAATACGGGCCATAATATTTGCCCTTAGTCAAAAAGCAAGTGGGAAAAAGCGTGGTGGGCTATACTGGATGCCCGCACAAAGGTCAAATCGATGGCTACAACAATCCTGTTCTCCGAAAATCTGCTGGGACAAACTTAAGCGGGTATTTCACTATGCCAAAACTGGAGGGCTGGTCAAGTGTCATGTCATACGATAAAATGAAAAGAAAAGGGTGGAGAGTCGTTCACCATCGTATGGCCAGTGTGAGTTACTTCGTGATTGACTTCTGTCACCTCTTCAGGGCGAGAAGGAAAACAAGCTTTCCGTTAGCGTCAACAGAGTTTGTCCGTCTGTAGGAGGGTGAAAAAAAGGACGAATTGCAAGGGTCTGCGACATAAAGCGTGGGCTTTAAACGTGGCACAATGGCAATGGGCCGCTGAGTGTGGTTTTGTTGACATCCCAAAAGTCTCTATAATTAATGGATCTAGAGGCATTGGACAGAAGAAACATCATGACAGAAGCTCTGGCGCTTCTCCAGGCAACCTCTCACATTGCAGAAAAGGCCGGCTGCAGGGTCCAAGTGACAACCCTTTCAATTTCACTGCTGGAGGCTTCCCAAACAACCACAAAGATCCGGCAACACGCTTGAGAATTACTGTAGTCTTCTAACGTTCTATCAAGTCGCAGAAGATCTGTAAACCCACATTAAATACCTCTCATAAGTTCAAGATCTCTGGGCTTTGTGGCCGGCTTCTCCTGCTACTCGAGAAGGCAACCTACCTTAACATCCAGTTGATCGCCTGCAGAGTAAACGGTCTTACACCAACGCAATTCGGGATAGCCGCTCTCGCTTTTCCCGTCACCAGTCTTATCAGGTACTATTTTTTCTTAGACCCAGCTGCAGAATTTGTACAGCCGGCTTATCGTGAGAGCCAAATGTTTACCAGCCGCAGTCAATCGAATCAGTTGCAGAATAGGGCCCAGAGTATGCGTAAATCGAAACTCGAATTCCGAATCACATCGACGGCAACCTGAATCTTGCTATATTGCTTAACGACGGGCAGAACATGGACGGAAGCAGCTTTGTCCATAAGACCTCCTCACTTGGCCGGTTCGTCAGTGATTATGGGAGGGAGGGAGATTTTCCCGGCGGCTATTGATAGTCTTTGGTGGCGTGTTATTCGGTGCGGTCCATTGTATCGCGGCATGTAACTTATTCGCCGTCCCACAGTCTTGCTTGATGCCTGTAGCGTAATTCTACCCGATACTGAGTTCAACTATACCAGTAGAACTACGCACTCCCGACATCAGTCGAGGCGCCTTCGTTTTTGGGTGGTTGCTGCCATAAAGGCTTGCGCGATTCTACGTCAGTCAGAAGCCTTTTCTAGCAGCCGCCCGAAGCGTTCATTGACATATGACCTGTGAACTCTCCACACGGGCAACGCATGTCCGTCAAAGGCAAGGTAAGCGAACCATCTTCGTCATGGAGAAGTACTGTTTTGCATCAACTCACTGTTGCCTGAAGACTCCAGCTCAGTTCATAGTTCACGCTTCGCGCCTGTTCTCCGACATCAACGTACCGCGCTGCTTTCTTGAATTTCCTCAACATCGAGTAATTGCCTAAAACACGATCAAATGTGACGTAGATCAAGAGTGGCGTGCAAAGATTCGAATCAACTGCCTCCTTTCAGTCAAACCTCAATACCGGCCGATACAATGCCAGCTATATATACCCAAGTGCTACACGTATTTACTCTTACACAAAGTCGAATACATCTCCCCGATCCGCAATCATCTTCCCAACCCTCTTCGTGCCCACCACCCTCTCAAGCTCCAGCCTCTCCCACTTACTGAACGCCACTCTCACACTCGCCTCCTGCCTACTGATCTCACCGCGCTCGACACTCTTGCCAATGAAACCCACAACCTCGTCGTAGAACTTGGGGTTTTCGGGGACTCCGTAGAACACAACGCGCTTCACGCCGCGAATCTGGTAGCGGTGGAAATGGTGCGCACGGCCGGTGTAGAGAAGGAGGCTGTGCTTGCCAGACATGAAGTGAGAACGTGCTTTCCGCACATCGGTCGCATCAGTGTATTCCTGGATCAGGCCGTAGCTGAAGTCAGAGTCGACGAGGGAGTTACGCACGCGCACGAAGTCCAGGTAGGAAGGTATGAAGACGAGAACGCCTACGCCGCCTGTTGCAGGTTTGGGGAGGCGGGTGATGGACGGCAGAATCGAGGAGTGGAAGTACTTGAAGCGGGCATCGGGGTCAGTCAGGTGAGAAGGCGAGTCGAAGCGCAAGAAGGTCTGCTTGATGCCGTAGGAGAGGGACTCGATGAGTCCGGATGTATAGTCTGGTGTGTAGCGCAGGCGGCCGGCGACGTTGCGCATGTGCTTGTAGTAGAGAGAGTTGATCTTGGGTGTAAGGAAGGCGGAGAGGATGATGGTCTGGCGGAGGTGGGGAGCGTGGCCATCGAGGTACCACGAGCGGACGCGCGAAAAGTCGCAGCCGTGGGGATCCTTGGGTTGGAGGTTCAGGTGGTCGAATACGAACTCGGCGTGCTCGAAGTTCTGCATCAGGGTTGCGTCTGCTTGGTCCATGATCACCATCTCAATGGAGGAAAGAAAGTCGTAGTCTCCTCGCTTCTTCTTGTCGCCAGTCTCGATGGCTCGGCGCAGACCCAATGCAGAAGCGAAGATGATGTCTGAGTTGTAGAAGGTCGAATACAGCTTGAGCGTCTTGCGTGTCAGCTTGACACCCACACGGAACTCGTTCTCGTCGTTGCCTTCGAAGAGCTCCCTGAAGTCATCTGGCTTGTCATCTGAGAATTTGTCTTCTGGCTGTGAGAAGCCGTCCAGGAAGCGCTTCTTGTTCTCCTGCTGCTCGAAAGTGTGCAGCTTGGTGATTGAGTCCAGCACGCGCACGCAAGCTTGCTTTGTCTCGAGAAGGAACAAGATCTTCGGCCGGGTGAAACCCTGGTCACGATACTCCACGTCCTGGTCCTCTTTCGCCGCTGCTAGCTTTGCATTGTTCTTCAGCACACGGTCTCGAGTCATCAAGATGTGGTTGAGAGCGTGCAGGCAAGCAAGATCCCGGAGACGACCTGCGTTCTGCACCGTTCGTGCGCCAAACAGCAAGTCCTGGTAGCTGAACAGAGAAGGCGCGATTGTCTGCTCGAGATTGTTGAAGTCGCCAATTTCCTGCTGTGCGTTCTCGACCAGTTTCGACTTGAGTCCGATATTGCGCGTGCTCCTGAACCTCGGCCTTTCCAGCGCCCTGTCATCGGTGCTCGGGACCTGCAGGACACCTCTCCCGGTGTCAGTATGGCTCGACTTGTGCGCTCTCCACGGATTGGCAGCCTTCGCGGGGGCAGCCTCGAGCTTCCTTGTCGCCCACTCGTTCTCTGCTATCCTCTTCAGCCGTCTTGTGAGCTCGTCCGCGTCCGGGTTGGCGAAGTGGCTGTCGAAGAAGGGGTAGTTCGCCTCGTTGTCGAGCGATGTGTCTTCTTCGTCCTCTTCGACTTCTTCGACTTGGTCTGCCTCGTCCTGGTCCTCGACCTCATCGCCGTCTACTGGCTCTCGGTCTTGCTCGACGGACGCATCCAGGACGTCCACGGCAGCCGACCTCAAGTCAGACTGCTTTGTGCGGCGCTTGAGTCCTTGTTGTCCGGCAGACTGGTCGTCGTCCTGCACCTTTCGCTTTCTGCTCGACCGGTCTTGGGGCTGGGTGGAGGCGAGGGACTGCAGCAGGGCGGAGTAGGCGTTCGAGGTGGGCTCTGCCTCCTCCTCGTCTTCGGACTCGTCTTCGGACTGGTCCGACGGATCTGACGCGGTGTCTTCTGGCTCAGACGACTGCATTCTGTCCGTGTCTCTGTGCCATGTCAGCGACCGGTCTGCGCGTTGTCCAGCCCGTTGCCGTACTCACGCCTCGCCATCTGGGCTTGTTGTGCGCGCACCGCCATAACCACCACCGCCGCCGCCGCCTCTTCCTCGCCCGCGTGCGCCCCCTCTTCCTCGCCCAGCGCCTCTCCCCCACGCACCGCCTCTCCCCCGCCCAGCGCCTCTGCTCCCCCCTCTTGCGCCGCCGCGAGCACCTCCGCGCCCTCTCGAGAACGCCATGTGTCGGGTCCGGCCGCTGCTTCCTCCCGTTACTAGCAGTGGCAAGGACCTCGGTCGCCTGGCTCAGTTTCTTGCAGACACGCGACACGTATCCCCGGATAGCAAAGGCGACTGGAGCTTGGAGATGCGAGGATGTCGCTTCTCGTCCCAAGTCGGTCCCGGTATGCAAGTCGCTCCTCCAGAAAATAAATACTAGCGTCCGTGCTAGCGAGCTGGCCGCACCTGGCAGGAACAATACAATTTCTGCCCCACCACCCTCACGACGTCCACGCTCCCGACGGCCTCGCACTCTCCACGGCACCGCCCAGCGCAGACTCGCCCAGCATGTCCGACAACGACTCCTTCCTCCACCTCGCCCGCCCGCTCGGCCCAGCGCCGGTCGGCGCCCAGCCCTCGACTGCCCCGCTGAACGTCGTCGTCCAGCCCCAGGTGGGCGCAACAACCAAGTCTGCCTGCCTGCATATTGCGCTGACAACGTGACCAGGCCATCTTCTCCGTCCTCGACCACTCCCTCCGTCGCCCCGCCGACCAGGAGCGCGTGATCGGTACCCTCCTCGGAACGCGCAGCGAAGACGGCACCGAGATCGAGATCCGCAACTGCTATGCTGTCCCCCACACCGAGACGGCCGAGCAGGTCGAGGTCGACATGGACTACCAGAAGCAGATGCTCGCTCTGCACCTCCGCGCCAACCCCCGCGAAGTGCTCGTTGGTTGGTACGCAACCAGCAGCGACCTCAACACCTTCTCCGCCCTCATCCAGAACTTCTACAGCCAGCAAGGCGACGGCACATGGCCCCACCCCGCTGTCCACCTCACCGTTTCCACAGAGCCCGGCAAGGAGATCGAGTCGCGGACATACATCTCTGCTCCCATCGGCGTCACCGCTGAGCGCGCCGCCGACTCCTGCCTGTTCATCCCCGTTCCCCACGAGATCAAGTACGGCGAGGCGGAGAAGTCCGGCCTCGAGCTCATCTCCTCGGCCAAGGACAGGGAGGACAGGACGCAGGAGGTTACCACCGACCTCGACCAGCTCGAGCGCGCCATTCAGCACGTCCTCGACATGCTGGAGCGTGTTTCCAACTACGTCAACAACGTTCTCGACGAGGAGGCAGAGCCTTCCTCTGCGCTGGGTCAGTTCCTGATGAACGCCCTCAGCCTGGCGCCCAAGGTTGACGCCGCCGACATCGAGCGTGACTTGTACGTTGTTCAGCCCCACAACCGCTTGACGAGCCTGCACTGACGAAACACAGCAACGCACACATCCAGGACGTCCTCGTCGTCTCCTACCTCGCCAACACCATCCGCACCCAGATCGACCTCTCGAACCGTCTCGCGACTGCAGCCCTTACCCTGGGTGGCGGTGATGCCCTCGCCGGCGACAACCAGAAGGAGACCGGCGACAGGAAACAGGGCGGTGACCGAAGGGGCGGCAACAAGGGTAGGCAGCAGAGGCAACAGGAGGCTTGAACATGATTTATGAACATACTAGGGACTGGCGTTTTTGGCTGGCGCCATGTGTAGTGTTGCTGCAAGACGCTAGAAACGGCAACACCAACACGGCGAGCATAGAAAAGAGCAGGAAGCAGGCCGACGCGCCAGAGCAGGGCGCGCGCGGCGGACCGGAGATGCTGCACGACGATGCAGAGTGAAAAGTAGAACGCTTGAGAAAGCGAGCATTTTCTGGCGTGGTCTGAGGCTGTGTAAGATTATCGCAGGCCTGTGGAGCATGAGCATTTGAGCGCACACGCTCAACAATGAAACACCATTCATAGTTCCAACGCGACCTTTTTTGCGTGTGCAGTGACATGGCGAAGAGTGCAGACTAGTCAGACCACAAGCTCTCTGTTGGGGCAACATCTCGGATACCGATACCTGATAACAACACAGAACATCGGCTTCGAGTTCACACCGCCAGCGAGCGAGCGCCTGGCAAGAAAAAGGGGGCCCAAAAGGTTTGTCACGATAGAGAGCGCTCCGTCAGAGCGGCAAGTACCGAAGAGCGCCGGCTCATCGCTCAGCGGATCTCCAGAGAGGAAGTTTCAACGGCAGATTGAAACCCCCACGAGGAAGAAGGGACTCGAGACAAAGCACTCCCCGCCTGCCAAAGATTGCACTGAAGACGCTACACCACCTCCCCCATGAGCACACAGCGCAAGGCCCCAAGAAGCCTCTCGTCCTCACTAAAGACTGCAGTGAAAAAGTCATCTTGCCACTCTCAACCTTCGAGTGAGCGCAAGCCTTCGAACACCTCTTCTCCGCGTTAGACGTTTGCACGGCAAAACGGACAGGAACCGTTCTGCCAAGTTTGGTCGCGCTCTTTCACGCTAAAGATTGCAGTGCAGATTCAACATCAGTGCCCTTGGGGAAAGCTGACCCGTTTGTGACCCCCCTTCCGCGCTAAGCATTACAGTACAATCAATCCATAACCCTCCAGTTGGCTGTCCATCGGTTTCGTGCTTCGAGCTTCCGCCTCCAATGGACTGCATGCGTGCATCGAATATGGGACTGGAAGGTGTGTGTCGAACACTGGCATACAGGATACGGGTCGGATGAACTTTCCTTCACGATATCACGAAGGATATTGATGTAACATGTGATGTGATGCGCGGGTGAGGTAATAGAACCTGGAAAAAAAAGGACACTCTCATATCCTCAATCCGCAACGTGCATCGGTGTTCGCAGTGTAAGTGCGCGAAATGATTATGTTTGTATTGGTGTGCGCCTCTCGATACGCATACTGATGCTGGTATCGAAGACCATGAACGCCGTCGCAATGCAGATTGTGCCGCAGCACTTGACTATATGGCCAGGGGTAATGTTGGGTACGAGCCGCGACCTGATCAGGATCATCCAATCAAGGTACAGTGCTAACTAATAGTAGCGCTCAGTCAACCACCGCTTCGTTCGCAGAGTTGGTGATCGTCCAAGGTGTTTGTGCGTGATGTTCAGGTCCAGTCGGCCGGGATGTCTTCGTAGAGTGAAGAGCCGTGAATGCGCAGTCAAGTAACGTACCCTTGCTCGCTGTTCAGGACGCAGGCTTACTCGAACCCGTTCGAGAGCTGTCAGAAGAAGGCTCGGTGTGCAGGAGTGTCGTGCCGTCCCTAAACAACACTTTCATCATCCCCAAACTTCTCCTTCTTAGCCTTATCCTTCTTCTTTTTCTTCTTCTTCCTCTCACCTTCCTCATCCCCACCCTTCCCCCTCGTCTTAGCCGGCACATCCTCCTCCTCCTTAGCATCCCCCTTCTGCAGTACCGCCCCCTCATCCGTATCAAACGCCTTCCTCTTCCTCTTCAACTCCTTATCCGTCTCCAGCATCTCACTGACCCTACCCAACTTCCCCGTGTCTCTTCTCAGCATGAACTTGAAGTCGTCGAGCTTGATTTTCGCGCGCCTAGCGTGGTGTGCGACCGCGGCGGCTTCGTGGCACGTCTCGATTATGTAGTCCGTCACGATCTCGTCCAGCACGCGCACGGTTTCAGGAAGTGGAAAGTCGTTGTCGCCGAAGGCAAGGAGGAAGGCTTCTACTTGAGGGCGGTCAAAATGTGTTCGTTGTTTCTTGAGGTGGGGTGGAGGGGGCACGCGGGGGAGGATTGGCGCGGGCATGGTGGTGGTTGTGCGCAGCGCAGGTTCGAGGTGGGCAGGTGTAGTGAACGATGGTGGCTTTAATATGCGCAGATGTGGTGGGTGTGGAGAAGATTGTCCAATAACAAAGCTAAGGAAGGCGAAGACGGCGCAGCTGCAAATGAAGGTAAGAAGTGAAGTTACTCACAGTCTTGTGTGGGAAACTGCTGGCCCTTCTGGCGCAATCGCATGCGCACCTCCGTCATGCTGTGCTTGGTTGCGAGCTTTCGCTCTGACTCTCTTTACTGTGTAACGAGCCTCTCCTATCGTTGCTTCTGCCTTTGCGTAAGGAAGGCGTTACGTGCTTGCTGCGCTGCGTTTCGGTAGTAGGTGTTGTCGCGTGCAATCGCTGGCAATCTCCTGTGGTTCTATTCGTGGGTGGAGTCGATGATTTCGTGCAGCGATGTCCGGATAGCAATGCGCAAGCGTGTTATGGTTTCTAACAAAGTGAATGTCGATTTGGTGATGTACGGTGTTTGCGCGCAAGAACGCGGTGGTAGACAATGACGATCATGCATGCACGCACAGGCCAGACACCTCGGCGCATGTTCTCCCCGCTGAAAGTGAGTGCACAGCGACGACAACTGTTCACTTGACAATTCTAGACGCCGATATTCGATCGCAAACCCTCAGCCCTTTTGCAGCGCTCTCACAACACTGTCAACAACACCACGCCTCATACTCCATCCTCAAAATGGTAGATATCCCCATACTACTCGATACTACCAGACAACCAGCTAACATACGTCCAGACAGCGCTCTTCAACTTCCAATCCCTCCTCCTCGTAATCCTCCTCACAATCTGCACCGCCACCTACGCGCACTACGTCTTTCCCGGCATCATCGACCGCAACAAGGAGAACTACTTTGTCAGCCCCATATGGAAGGCCGCGAGAGTGGGTGAGAGGCTGAGCCCGTATGTTAGTCTGGCGTGTGTGGTTATGGCGGTAAGTCCTAGATCTCTTCATCCTAGGAGAAGTGCAAGGTGGTGTAAGGGTTGAGAGACTTGGTGTGGGATGAAGGGGGTGCAGGCAGGGCGTGTTGTGAGAACTTTGAGGATGGGGCGCACGGCATCACAAAGGATCACCCGGGACAGAGGGGCAGATGCTGACGTGTTGCAGGCGCTCACGTTCATGGGATGAGCGGTGACTAGTGAATAGGAGGCAAGAGGACGACACTATGAGCTACCGGTCGGTTCGGTAAGGGCAGGCGCGGCACAATGGTGATGAGCCCTTGGGGACCCTGAGAGCTGACTCGAGCTGTGGTACGCAAATGAGGTGACTACGACCCTGGAAGTGACCACAAGGAAGCTACAGGCCGGCTGTCCAGATCCACATGCCCTGGATGGAACAAACATCTAAGAGGTAGACATCACGCATATGGAAAGAACATAATACAGACCATCATGTTTGAGTATTCGCGTCATCGCTAGCATTAAAGATGTGTTATATACAAGAACGAGGACGCGCGCTCGCTGAATTTTGTTGCCGACCTTTTCAGATCAGACATTGTTGGTACAAAAAAAAGTGTACCGGCACCTTTTCAAAGGCATTCCTCTAACCAGACATAGACCCATCCTATACCGATTCATACAATTGATGATAATACACAGACGTGATCCAGCGCCTAGAGAACACCTTTCCTTTCGTTCAGGCGCGCGCAAGAGTTGAGAATTTTTTCTGACATGTAGATTTTGGAGAATCATCGAGCCGGGGTATCGATGAAGGAAAACAGAGCAAGAGGAAAAGCAGACGAGCGCAAGCGTTGAAGAGCTTGAGTGCATCCACTGACAAACTGCCAACTAAGGGTTGGTATCATGTAAAGCCGCCGACAACTGTCGACGGAGAGAAAACGTCGTAATTCTAAAGGCAAAAAAGGCGAGAAGGGAAGACATAACTACGAACCATAAGCATCAATCATCTCTGAAAGCGGCAGGGAGCCCGACTTAACCCGCTCGCTGCCTAATGCTTATGGCTCATCTCTCCCTTCTCGCAACAGCTGTTCAGCCCATGGCGAGAGCTTGCGCGCTCGTGCGAGCCTTCGACATCGCTCGCATCTTCGACAACGACATCATCGTGAAGCATGAAGTCAGGCTGGCTGTGTGCATCGTCCTCGTCGTCGTCATCGTCGTCGTGGTCACTTACTAGGCCCGGGTTGGAGTCAACGGTATGAGGGCTGAGGTCCAACGGCGAGTCTGGCATGTGCTCATCACACTCTGACTTGACAGGCGATGGCAACGAAAACGGAAGTCGGGCGTGACTGGCTTGGTTGCCCTTCCTACTGCCTGGTCGTGCCAAGGGGGCTTTGCTTGCAGGCGCTTTGTTGGGGGCGCTAACGGGAAGACGCGCTAGCTGAGGCGGGTTGGCGTTGACTGGGGTCGGAGCCGCAGTGGTGTCCGCGAGGTCGTCATCTGAGTGCTCGATCGCGTCAAGGTCAACCTTGGATCGAGATGTGGTGACAAGTTCTTTAAGGTTGCCCTCAAAACCGCGCTTTTGAGCCAGAGCACTCAGATGCGGCGTTGTCAGTGAGCCGGTGAAGTTGGCTGAGATAGGCTTCGACTCCTCCCGTGGCGCGGCATTGAAGTCGCGGTGGACGTCCTTGGCTTGCGCAGTCAGGCTGGGTTGCGCTGCAAGAGGGTTAACGATGCCAGGTGTAGCAGGCATAGAGAACGACACCGCAGGTGCGGAAGCCGGAGTGCTGACTGGCTCAGTCGCCGTGACCGGTTGCCCAGCCTCGTTGATGTCCACCGGAACACCGCAGGCAATGGCTGCCGCATCGTGGCTCTTAAACACCAGGCTATGCTTGATACGGCAGTGGTTGAGGAAACCTTGCGTGTTGGAGAAGTTGCTGTGACCGCACTGAGCGCAGTAGAGTCGTACCCACTGACCGTCGGTGGATCGCTTGTGTAGCAGAGGGTCGATCTTTGGAGCTGGTGCTGGATTTTCACCGAGCGGCGGGAGCTTCAACATTCCAGTCGAAGTTCGTGACGTGCGGCCCTTGTTTCCATGACTGTAGTCACCAAAACTGCCGCGCGTCGTCCTGCCCTCACCAATCCCAAAGTAACTCTGTTGCTGAGCGAGCAGACGTTCAGACACAGGGTCAAATTGCATATCCGAGATCAACCACTTGGCGTAGTGACGAGTGTATGGACCATCGGTGACTCCCCAGGGTGCAGCAAACTGAGGCTCTGTGTAGCCGGCAGGCGGTTGCAGAGCAGCCCCAACACCCCGGCTGAGATCGTTAGAGAGACCCTCAGTACCTGGGAACGGAATCATCGAACAACGCCTGAGCTGCTCCATTGAAATCTGACATTTGGCCAACTCTTGCTCAATCAGACGAAGCTCGTTATGCTTCAAAAGAATCTCGTAGCTGATTTGCGCCTCGATCGCTTGTTGAACAGCGGTCAAGCTTGATGTTGTGGAAGTCTCAGGAGTGTTGACGGGTTCAGATTTTACGTTCACTTTCTGCGATTTCGATGTCTTGGCCTTCAGCACACTGTCCTTCCTCGGAAGCTGCGCCTTCGGTCGCGAATCTAGAATATCCGCAGAAGCAGCCTGAGGCACACTCTGCGCAACTTCTGGTTCCGAGGGTCCTGTTGCCACAGCGTTCCCTTGGTTTGCCACCACAGGCTTCATTTCGCCTTGCGCACTCTTCCACTTCTTCACAGCGTGCGCATGCTGCGTTGATGCCGGCTCGGGACTGTCAGTCGCCTTGCGCTTGATTTGGTTCATATTGAAAGTTGGGATTTCAACGACCGGCATCTGTCTTGACTTGTGCAGCGTAGCCTTTTCCATGATTCTGTCGCCGGGCGACTCCGTACTCCATGGGAGGCGGAACATGGACTGCATTGAGAGTGAAGAAGTGGAAGCCTAGAGACAACAGCGCTCATCTGTCGTGGCGATCGTCAGGCGCATTCAAGTCCAAGAAGCAGTCACGCCGTTGAAGAACGTCGCGGCAAGCGCAACAGTAAAGTGCGCAAAGTCGAGAAGGAAAGTGTTGAAAATCGCGCGATATTAGAAGGTGTACTGGGTATCAAGAAGGTGTGGTGAGAGAGTGCTAGAAGTGGAACAACAGGCAGCTAAGTTGTTGTGGTGACGTGGTGTGCAAGAGCGAAGATCGGCCGATGAATGGGAAAATCAACACTGCGGAATCCGAATACTGGGTGAACAGATCGCGATCCTGAAGAGACGGGCCTGCAGCAGCTTTGCAGCGCTACAAGAAAGCCGTGCAGAGGTGTGGTGGTGGGAGGGGAGGGTGCGAAGGGAGACGGTGGTGTTGTGGTTTGCGACCAAAGTTGAAAAGTTGCGAAGTTGGGGGGCTGCTCTTGCTATGGAGAGCTGCACGCTTATTTGGACGCTAGTCCCGAAGCGCAGCCACTGACAAGGATGTCGTCCCCCTGATCGGCTTCGATTGGCTTCGTGTCATACAATTCTTACCGTGGAATGCCGCTTGGCTGTTGGCAAAGCAATACATCATGAGCGAATTTCGCAGGCTATCTTACTCGTTTTTCCGTGAGGCCGAGTGGCCTGCAATACTCGTAAAGGCGCAGAAAGGTGTGCGCGCCCTCGCAGCTGCCACTCGCCGCCAGTGAGTCGTGTGAAGGTTTGGGCAATCATGGACATACATCATTGTGGGCCTCTTGACTCTGGGCGCATCACTAAGTTTGGCTGACTTAACCAACGTTTGCTGGCAGCAACTGTCTCAGCGCCGTTATGTCACGTCTCGCATGGACTCCGCGGTGCACTGGCTCACCGGCCCAGCCAGATCGCTCCTGGCGAATACACTCTCAAACGCTTCGAGCCCATCGCAATCAATTTTGGCGGGGTGGGCCGCGTCGTCGCCGTGGAACATACCAACCTGCGCAAGTCTGTCAAAGTGATCGCAGGCCAAGCGCCACTTTCGTTCTACTGCTTGCTGGCTGGGCTGCCGGCTCCACATGCCATCAGCCACGCTGAAACGACTCAACACCATGATGCGCTGTCTCGTGGCCATACAAAAGGATCGACCTTGCCGTTATGCGGGGCACTATTATGCGCATGCAGCCTGGAATGGTCGCCAAAGCTCCTTCAGTCAGTCGGTGTGCGTGAAGCTGTCCACCGCCCTGCAAAAGGCCAGCTTCAAGGCATGCTGCTGCGTCGTCTCCGAAGCTAGGCCGCGGCACACGGGTAGGCGTCCGGTATCGTCCATCGTTAGAGTCCAACCGGAATCCCGGGCTCTCCGTGAATTCGCGAAACGATAGATCGCCTCTAGTCTTCCAGAACACAAGTCACAGCTTCGATGGGTCTGGAGTTTACGATAAGATGTAATTTCATTTCGATCATGTGAGCAAATAGCAAGCACCGCAGGCCTGGCCGCAGATATAGAAGTGTATCGAAATGGTGTGGCTAGTCTACAGTGTCCCTTACGCAAGGTGTCCTGGCCTTGCCTAGCCTCGATCACGGTCGATCATGACGATGAGTACCTGAAAGACCAGTGGATCTTAGGAAACGCGACAAGTGTACGGAAAAATATCTACAACCTTCCCAGGAAGTCTGGCCTGAGAAACAGAAATGTGCGAACTGCGCTGCTCCACACTCCACTGTGCGGACACTGTTCACCGGACGTCTATGCGCTGCTCACCGCTCGTGGTATTGTGCTCACAGGACATGTTCTTTCGTTTGGTGATGCTGGAGCAGGGCGGATGTTTTCGGCTTCCGGCGAACGAGCTCCATCTTTCTGTGGGGACTCATCCAAACTCACCCTCTCCATGCTCTGCCGCAACGTGCCGTTGCCGTGTGGTTGTGTCGCAAGATTTTTGAACGGACATGACCCAGCTGCCATGGCCGCGTCTTCAATCTCACTCTCGTTCTCACTTCCATCGTGCAAAATCTTCTTCCCGTGCAAGTAGCCCTCTGGCTCAATTTCTGGAACAAGGGCATCGTCGGTGAACTCGTCACCGTCGCGGACGTACCACTTCGCGAAGAGGTCGTTTTGAATCCAGATCACCTTGGAGAGCGCCTTGACGAGTCCAATCTTGCGGTCCATCTTCATCTTCGGGTGCGACAAAATGGCTTCCGTCAGGATGTCTTGGACGAAGGACAACGTGACACCAATGTGGACGTATTCCACGTGCAATGGGTGAGCTCGTCCTTGTCCAACATGCATCATGCCCACCTTGTCGAGGTACTCCCAGAACTCCATCTTTGATGGGTCGCTGCATAGCTTGTTCAGGTATCCACGAAGAAACATCTTGCGGTGCATGATCTGAGGTGAGTTCTCGCTGAGGTTGGGATCGACCGATCCCTCGTATGACGTTGATCGTGTCTCAAAAGCTCGCGCAGTAATGTCATATTGCAACAGCTTCTTGTAGACGATATTGACCACAGCCGGTATGAGTGCCCTGATGTATTTGGCTCCAGTAACAAGGTTCTCGATGTCGCCTGCCAAGATTAATACTCGAGGGTTGCATAAGTATTATCATGATACATACGAGAGCTGAAATCGAGGAAAGACTGCAAGTATTGTATCCGTGTTTCCAAATTTGTATACAGATCTCGGCGGTCAATGTATTGCATCGGTCGGCGCTGCAAGGGTGCCATGTTAGGCGACTAGTCTTAACGGAGGTCAACTTCGGGACTTTTGTAGGCGTTGTCGTCGTCGTCAACAATCGTTGCGCGCTCGCTGAAAATAGGATAATGTCGATGAAGGTGTATGCAATAGTCTTGACCAGTCAAGCTCAGCGTCTTTATAACGCACATTGTCTTTCTCCGACGAGGCATCCATGGTGCACTGCTGCGCGCCCAAGTGGTGTGTTGTGTCTTACGATGAGATGGCGTGACTGCAGGTCGAACCACCTCAAAGGAAGAAACCGTGAGGCTCACCATCTCGCACTCCGCCAGCAGCTGCTTGCCGCGCTTGCTATGATCGGTCCCAAGTGTCGCATCAAAGACTTAGCTCAAGCACTCTCTCTTCCCCTCTTTCCTTTACACATTTTCGCAATCAAGTTGCTGTTATCTTGGTCGCATGCGATGGAAGCAGTTCGACCAGCCTTGTCATTGTGATACTTGTCATGCCTGTTGCAGATTTGGCTGGGCGTCGACTTCCATTTGATCACAGCGTTGGTGCGTTTGCACATGGTTGTAGGAAATATATTGATGAAGCTGTCGTTGAGTTTGTCAACGGGCCGAAACAGGGCGCAATTTGACACGACTGCATTGCAATGAATGCACCCTACGCCCTCTCCATTGCGACTCATTATGATAATAGTTGCGATGCGACTTCGAACATATAGTGACTTTTAAGATGTGTGGTCAGATAAGGAAGGAGTGGTGAATGGAAGTGTGTTCGGAGCGCTCGCGGAGTAAAGCACACCATCGCAGGCAAACATTCCGAGCTACGCACTGCGGCGCCGGGTAGCGTACACAAGCGCACGTCCCTTCCCCAGAGAGCAGGTATCCCCTGCCCACGTCATTGCAATTGCGCCTTCGAAGCTATTTGTACCATCATATTCGAAATCGAGTAGCCAGGAATTACACCCACCAACAGCCTCCGAACACAACAATCACGAACAAGATGTCTGCCATCCAGAACGTCGCCATCATTGGCGGCAACGGTACTTTGGGAAAGCCAGTTCTTGAAGCACTCAAGAAATCCGAGTTCAACGTCTGGGTCATCAATCGCCAGACCTCAAAATCAGTATACCCCAGGACGCAAGTCATTACAGTACCAGACGATCTGAACGTGGATGCCATCGCCAAAGAACTTCAAGAGAAGGAGATCGATGCACTCGTCATCGCCATCGCTGGTAGCAATGTAGAACAGCAGAGGAAGCTCATAGATGCTGCCTTTAAAGGAGGAGTGGAGCGAGTAATGCCAGCCGACTTTGGCAGCTGTGACTCTGCAGATGAGAAGACGAACGAGATTCTGCCGCTGATGAAAGGCAAGAAGGGTATTCGCGACTACTTGATCGAGGTGGAGAAGAAGGAGCGAGATGGCAACAGAGGGAAGCTTACCTGGACGAGTTTGATCAACGCACACTTTTTCGACTGGGGTCTGGGCAATGGGCTGCTGAAGTTCGATGTCAGAGGCCGCAAGGCGTATTTGCTCGATGGCGGCGACATCAAGTTCTCAGCATCGACGCTTCCTTTCATTGGTAACGCCGTCGTTAGGATTCTGGAGAAGCCTGAGGAGACAAAGAATAAGCTGCTGTACATCCACAGCCTGTACATAACACAGCTGGAGGTGCTTGCCGCGCTGGAGAAAGCGACAGGCGACAAGTTCGAAAGGATCGATGAGAACAGCGAAGAAGAGCTGAAGAAGGTCAGGCCGAAAATGTTGGAGGGCGATCACGATGCACGTGAGGAGGTCGTCGCTATCTGGGGTGTGGTTGCGGCGGATTGGAAGAAGAGGGAGGCTTTTGCGAACGATCTACTAGGACTGAAAGAAGAAGACCTTGACGAGGTTGTCCAGCGAGTGGTGAAGGATCTGTAGGATCCTTTCTCGCTCATACAGACTTAAGTGCGTCCTTTGTCAACAGTCGAGGCACCAGCACGATTACAATGAAAGCTTCAGTAACACAAGACGGGTTCGCCGCCCGAATTCATATTGATAGCAGAATCTAGTTGATATGTATCGTTTGCGTCGTTCAAATGCAGTGGCCGCCCGTGCTGCTCAAGTCAACGCAATTGGTTTCGCACCGATTTCGTAACCAAACACAGTCAAAGCGCGAACAAACAGCGAGCTCATTTAGGTTCAAAATAGTCTCGTGTAACCGCGGCGATTACAGGTCGAAACCCAGATCAAACCGGGAATTCCACAGCGGCCAAGTGTCGCTTACATGGCCATTTGCCTTCACCTCATCACCTCCATTGTCGGCTCCATCCTCTAACCGCTTCCTCCAAGCCATCAGATCGTCGTCGTTGGGATCGTAGGGTAGCTTCTGGCGCATTTGCCAAGTATTGCCGCTGCCGTTTCGATTTTTGTCCCTGGACTGGACCGTGTAGCCAAAGAGCTCAGCGACGCCTTCTCTCAGCGCTGGATCGGCGAAGAAGACCGGGTTGCTTGAAGACTTTCTCAGTGGGTTCGGTGGTGGAGGAACGTAGTTGTCGGTCATGACGATCTGCTCGGACGGATAGTGGAAAGCTCGGAGGTCCTTGGGTAAGGTCAGCCCTGGTTGTCTAGGCGCGTTGAAGTCGAATGGTAGTACCCTGTCGCAGAGGATGGTCGGTTGCTGCTGCTGCCGTTGGTGTTGCTGAGCACGAGGTAATGGCGCATGAGGTGCTGCCCAGTCTGCAATGGCAGGCGCATTTGGTCGAAGCGGTCTATGGGAAAGTAGAGAGGTCATGGTGCGGTGAGGATATGCCGAGAGGGCAGTCATATTGTCGATAGATTGTGAAGCCGGTCCTTGGGATTCTTCTAGTGGTGAAAGTGGAGGTGAAGGGTACATACCGCGAGTACCTCCCGTTCCTTCACCTCAGCCTTGCTGCTTGGGCGACTGGATGCCCACATTATGGAGGAGAAAGAGAATACCTCCATGACTGAACGTGACTTTGTCGGTACCTTCGACTAGCTGCTGCAACTGTTCCATTCACGCTGTAGTGTCTTGCTGGGTTGCAGCCGCATCTATAAGATCATCTATGTACTCTTCGTAAAATGTCCAGAGATCACCGAGACAACTTCGAATATCTGCAAGCAAAGGAGTGAAGCGATCTGGCTTTTGGGCCTTGGAGCTTGAATATATTGCGGCCTTTTTCTGACGTTGATCTTGCATGGCGATGAGCTTAGTTTGATGCGACGAGACGTAGAGAACGCGGTCGGATCAGAAATGTAGGAAGAGGAAGGACGCAGGAAGTTAAGGCAAACATTCGGCCGACAATAGGTTCATGATTGCTATTTTGTATATGGGTCACAATAGGTGCGGTAAGTGAAGTTGACTCTTCGCGAATGCCTTCAACTGGCACGTAGCCACGAGCAATCGACCTACGAGATACATCGAGCGTTGTCTAGGGAGATAGTGATTCTCCCAACAGAGTGACTTGTCAGGCTTGCGCATACCTTCGATGAAGGCGTGATGCATCTTTTCCGTCGATCTTATGAAAGGTTCCACCTCTTGCTGAAAGGATCGTGCTCTGGGTCCATCCACCGAACATACTCTGCACTATCCGCCAGGCTTTCTGCAACATCTTCTCCATAGTTCAGCGCAACAAAGGCGTACGACGCATCGATACCAGCAGATATGCCTGAGCTAGTTACGATGTTCCCGTCTACTACCCACCTAGCCTTCGCAACCCATTTGACATCCAGTCCAGTGCTAGTCGCCCACTTGTATGCACGTTTGTTTGTCGTGGCCCGTCTGCCATCCAGAATGCCAGCTCGTGCTAGTATTGTCGCGCCTGTGCAAACAGAGAGAACGGACTTGAGCGTGGGATACATCCTCCTTACAAATTCGATCTCTTGTGCTACGTCACCACGCACGCCAACGCCTCCAGGCACAATGAGAACATCGATTGCTTCCTCGCTCCTTTCACCATGGCGGGTTGCCTCTTGAATGTCGAGCTGCTCTTCCAGCGTGCGATCAACGACTAGGTTTTCAGAGAAGCGCGACAAGGGGTGCGCATTGGCGAGAATGAGACTGCTCGTGGATGGATGATGTGTGGGTACTGAGCCAGGAGTTGCAGCGAGATTTGTGAGTCTCATGGGGTAGTTGTACAGCATTGCGAGCGAGTTGAAGACATCAAGAGGGCCGAAGACGTCCAGCGCTTGGAAGCCAGGAAAGAGAAGAATACCATAGTGCACGGGTCTGTCGCCTTGCACCTCGAATAGGGGGTTATTGATGTTACTTGTGGATGAAGTTGTAGAAGTGGAAGACGCAAAGGTGTCTAACATTGTTGCGTTCGGCGGGGTGATCGTTCCTCACTTCCAGTCCGACTGCGGCGGGGTTGATGTACAAAACCTTAGCTGTCAGCACCACGCCACAACTAGGCTTGATGCGAACAAATTTGACGAAGCGATATTGAACGCTCAGCTTTGATGAGTACGGAGGGCTGAGCCCCTTCAGCACGAGCAAATTGTAAGCCAAATCGTCTCAAAAAACTCGTGACTGCCTGGGCGGATTCACTGATGCACATGGAAAGTACCTCTAGTAGGCGATCTATCTGATCTGTCAATACACCATAGCACCTTAATCTAGGACATATGTTTCATGAACTCGTCAGGCTCAGGATCAACCCTGAAACCTTCCAATGTAGTTCCATTCCCATCGTTCCAGTAGTAGCCTCTGAACAGTCTAGCAGACTTCTCAATACTATCATAGTGAATGCTCACCAAACCTCGGCCTGGCTCCCAGCGTGATCCTGAACGGTTCCAACGAAAACCTTCGATGACCTGTATCCCGTTCTCCCAACATTCATCTTCTGATAGTAGAACAGAGTCGAACTCAGCTGATGACTGGTCTTGATTGTCTTCTTCTATTGGTGCTTCTGGCTCTTTCATAGCCGTGTCGATAACATCGGACATTTTGCTATCCGGATTCTCCAATGACGGAGTGGCAGGCGGTGGTATCGGGTTGTGCTCATTGTCCTCATCTTCCGCAGACATGGGTTGACGAGGAGTATCATCCTCTGGCAATTGATGATCACGATCGTCCTTGGAATGTATGGGTGGCTCTTCAACGATCTCTCTCTCGTTACCAACACCCTCCAGGCTGGACGGTGAACCAGACAGCGGGGAGCTATGCCGCAAATTCCAATCAAAGCGTTTGTGATCCAAGAACGGACCTTGTTCAGCATCGACGGCGTTGTTCGACTCTGGTGTGACAGGCGGCGTATCGTCTGCTGAAGGTTCTTGTGTACTGCTGAACAAGGTTTCGGTGCGGGTAGATTGAGGTTGAGCAAAGGGATGCAAGCCCGGATTTGGGCTTTGAGTAGGCAAAGAAGGAGGTGGTGTCGTAGTTGTCGAAGTAGGAGTTGTGGCCAGCTGTGTATCCGGCTTGGACTTTGCCTTCGTGCTAGGCATAGCTTCCCGGAAAGGCAACGCTGTAGTCTCGGCAGGAGCGCGCTTGCGCTTTTTGGTCTTGCTATCTGTTGCGGCGTCTTCCTCAAGCTGGACTTCCGGCTTGGGCACAATCGGAAACATGACTGGCGTGTGTCCTTCATGTTCATTGCTATCAGTCTCCTCATTCATCTCGTCGGAAAAGGCATTGTGCTTCCTTGCAATCTTCGGAAAGCTCTGCGTCACGAACTTCGCCATGGCCACTGAGGACTCTGTTGCACAAGCCTACACACACATGAGATTACGATGATACTCATCGTAAACGGAGCGTGCTGCGGACGGGAACTGCTTGAGGAGCTCTTGGCAATGTCGTTGTGCTGACTTGGGTAGATAGTAACTGAAGCCTTTGGATGCTGCAATAGCGTATCTCGCAGTCTTTTCGGGGTCGACTTTGTGGGACGGAGCTACAATGGAAAAGTATGCTTAGGGGCGGGTGTACGGCTGGCCGTGGTTGATGTCGATATCAAATCTGGTGAGTAGAGTGTTTGCGTTGTTGATGGTGGACTATCATCTCAGAGAGTTCGTTGAATTGTCAAGGTCTGAAGATCTGTGATATCAGCGGCATAATACAAGTAGAATGGATATGCTAACCTTGTGCTGATTAGCGGTCACACAGCCCTACAACTCTTCTACTTTCTCCACATTCCTCTGCCTATCAAGGATCACTCTGACCATTCTACCCTTGTCTTTGAACAGACCCTGCCTCAGTGTATCTAGATAGATCTCATAGCTCGGCATATACCCGTCAATGAAAGCCTTGACCTGCTCATCTGACATTCCTGAGCCCTTGGCTACTATCATCTTGTGCTCTTGCTCCAGTCGCCAAATGTACACATTGTGCAGACCACTTGTGTCGATGTGGACGAAGAAGTCGAAGTGCTCATGGCCCATGAACGCATCGCAGTATCTCTTCAGGTTGTCGTTCACCTCCAGTAGATGTGATAATTGATGTTGTGCAGGAGTATTGATTGGCAGCTTTCCAGCCAGCGCCAGTGAGTGCTTCTCCTCGACCGCAGAAGCAGGAAGGGGCTGGAAGCCAACGCACCAGCCTTCGAAGACCACAACATCAGGCTTCTGCGAGACCGAATGCCAGTGTGACACTGGTGCTCGATCACCTTCACCACTGAATTGACTCTTGTTGAAACTCGGAATCTTGAGCTCGCCTTCTCCGCTGTAGGCTTCCAGCTCTTCGAAGAATCTCGCAGCCAGTTGCTCATCATGGGTTCCTGGCTGTCCTCGCACACGGTATAATCCATTCTTGGGGTCTTGATCTCTTTGTGAGACCAGACCGTCATGTGTTTTGTAGAAGTCGTCCAAAGATACAGTGATGGTGTGCAGCTGATGTTCTGAGGTAAGGATCTCCACTATCTTAGACGCCCATGTCGACTTTCCGGATCCTTGCAGCCCTGTGATACCAAGTACGATTGGTCTCGATGAGTTTTCGCGTTGCTTCTTGATCTTTGGCAGCAGTATGTTGAGCGCCCGCCTGATGTTCGACTCGAGTGTGGACATTGCGGGGTAAACTTCTTGGGCGGTCCACAGGTGAAATATTCAAATTCAATGGCGCAGTCTTGGTGCAGTCTTCCCTTCGAATGAGCTTACAATCTTCTTGTATGCCACAGTTTATGAAGTTGTAACATCTACAAAGTCCGGAGTGAAAGTGTCCACGGAGGAAGAAAGTCCGTCTAGGCATGGTGTCGGCCCGGTCTTCTCCCCGCAACCATCAGGAGTGGGGGCCATGACCGTTTCAACATTCTCTGGAAGGACTGTTGTGCCAAACGTGACTTCAGCATGCGCGCCCTAGACCGGCGCGTCGAAGGAGACGTGATTTGAATGCTGATGGGGTGGTGCAAGGTGGAGAATGGAAAAATGAACGCACTGCTGGTGTTGAGTGTTGAGTTCCAGTTTATTTTCGACGTCGGCTTATCTCCGATGACGCAACCGCGACCTGCGATGACTTATCTTTCTCGATGTTTTCGACGCTCATCTTTGCAAACAAAACTCACAATGAAGCAAGTAGATGATGTTAGCTCTGAGCTTGGGGGTGCAGGTAGCGTCACGCTCCATGACTCTTCGACCGCCCTCAACGTGGAGGAGTATGCTTCGCCTCTAACAAATCGGACGCGGACAGGCTTTCTAAAACAAGGCGGACAGTCACTCTCATACTGGCTATAGCAAGTGCAGCCTGATCCGCTCTTGGATCACCGAACGACAGATAATTTACCAGACGACGCCAATACTGTGATCATTAGGTCAGGCATCACGGGTACACTTGCTGCTAGAGAGCATCTCAGCATATGTCCCGATAAGAGTGCGGTAATCTTGGAAGCACGCGAATTCTGCTCAGGGGCGACAGGACGAAACGCCGGTCATTGTAAACCTGATCAATGGCGAGGGTATGGCAAGTCCGAAAAAGTGTGTGACTAAGAGCAGGCTATCAAGATCTTGAACGACGAGGCGGACACCTGGAATGCGCTTGTCGCCTATGTTCGAGAAAACAACGTAGACTGCGATCTTTGGGTTGGCGACACGTTAGGCGTACCGGTTGATGATAAAGTCGCAAGACTGGCGAAAGAGATATTTGGAAGTTACAGAGAAGCCGGAGGTACCACCACGAGCGGTTAGCGGCTCTTGAGCCATTCGCAATTCTTACGGCGTTTCTACGTCCGGATGGAGCTCTTTTCAGTATCAATCCTCGTTGCACCGCCGATGGCAATGTCATGTTCGGCAGCTCTAATCCTGGACAGCAAGTACTTGACGACTGGGTTGAAGCATCCCAAGAATTGCATTAATGACGGACTCAAATATCGAAGGCGTGATTCGATGTATCAAGAACTTTGTCAACGACAGCTTCGAGGGGTGGGTGAGACTGAGTATGGACCAGGAGAGGGCATTGAGTACAGCTGGAGTGGTATCATAAGTTTGAGTGACGATGGCGTCCTTTCCGTAGGAGAATTACCTGGCAAGGCCACCCAGTGGATGTGCTGGACATCACGGACAGCAAGTCAATCAACTTCCTTTAATATGCGCATTTGAGCTGACATCCGACAGCAGAATGGCACGTATCTTTACTGCAGCACCCGGCCTTGTGAAGCTAATGAGTGGCGAGTCTTGGAATGCAGTGGGCCTACCAGATGTGTACCAAATCACTGCGAGCCGTCTGGAAAGGCTGAAGAGCGCATCGGTCTCAAAACTTGCAACTATTTGAAAGCCCATAAAACGTCCATATACATGTTGACAAGCCTTGTCTTGGAAGAAGCGAGTGGGACTTCTCGTGGTGGAGACAATTTCAATCATGACTCGCGCATCGTAAAACTCCCTTTGTTCCTTCTCCTCTCCTTCTACGAACTCTTTGTAGCGCTTACGTACCGCTGCTTTACCAAAACGGAGCGTTGTGTCAGACAGGTTGCCACTTCGCATAAGTGGCAGCATGACTGTTTGTGCAGACGTTGTGCAACCGTCAACCACGGTTCTGAGACGGCAAAGGCGTGCACGGCAGGTAAATTGCGACAGAATGAACCGTGGAACGCGCGCCATGTTCGACACTTTTGTACGCGACTTACCTGACAGGGTAATATCGTAAGAACAAGGACTGCGCCAGAGCGTGGGTACGTGCATTCGCGGGACGAACCGTGGTTGATAGTTGCGGCAAGGAATGGATGTGTGTTCGTTGTTTTCCGCTTCAAAGTTGCCGTGCACCGTCACTGCTTTTTGGGAGACTATAACATTAGGGTCCAAACTTTGGCACCTTGACATAATGTTTGGCGGACAGCGTTGACAGCAGTAAAACTATTTACAGTTCGTTCGCACCCAGGCGCTGCGAACACGCTCCTCAAGCAAACACTAACCAGTATCGATAACCATATCCATCGCGCATTCGGAGACGTCAAATCTGAGAAGTCAGATTACCGTAGTTAGTCAGCACATGCGCGCCATCACCAGATGCGCCAAATGCATTTTGCACCCCATTTTATCAACCCCAACAGCTCAACAACATGACAGGATTAGAAGAAGCCCTTGCAGAGTGTGATACTTTTGAGACC